AAAAAGATTATAAGAAATAAAATAAAATATAGCTAAAGGTATAATAAAAGTATTATATTAAAATAATCTTATTAACCTAAGTATAAAATAAAAAACTTAAATATAAAAAATAAAAATAAAAATTAGATTATATTAGGTTATTAGTAAAATAAGAGATTACTTATTAATATATTATAATATAAGTATAAAATAATATAAATAAATAACTAGGTTAAGAAATAAGATTATAATAGCTATATAAGTATTATTCTAAGATACCTAGGCTATGCCTTAAAGCTTATAAGAGATTAATAAAAGGTTAATAAAGAATAAATAATAGAGGGGGAGAACTTATAGTATTATACTTTTTTTTATTATAAATATAAAAAATATAAATATTTAATAAGCCCTTAGTAATATAAGGGATATTAAGATCCCTATTAATATTATAGATATAATAGAAGTAAGGAACCTTATTAATATTTATATTTTAAAATACTATAGAATTATTATACTTAAAGTCCTTAAGAATATTTATATATATAATAAATAAAGATATTACTAAGAATTCTATAATAAATAAATAAGTAAGTAATATAGGAATAAAAAAAGAAATAAAAAAGTTATATATAATTTAGAAGAGAAGATTAATAAGAATTATAAAAGTTATAGTAATATTATTATAAAAAATAATTAAATTATTATTATAAGAAAAAAGAAAATAAAAAAAGGAAGATTATTATAAAATAAAAAACCTTAATTATAGTAATAATAATTATATTTAAGCTATTAGTATTAAATAATTAGCGGCATAAAGCTATTATTAATTCGCTAGTAATTAATTAATTATAAAGAAAAATAATAAATCTATAATAAAGATTATAATTATTATAAAAGAAAAATATAAAATAAATAATAAATAATTAGTAATATATTATAAAGGGTTATTAAAGCTTAATATCTCTAAAAGGCGATTATATTTAGATATCCTTAATATTAAATAAAGGAAATAAGATAATTAATTAAATAAGCTTAAGGGACTAAGCTCCCTAGAGAGGGGATAATTATAAGAGTATTTAAGTTATATCGGCTATTACTAGTAAGTTAGGGAAACCTTAGCTTAATAGAGGGCCCTAGGCTATATAAAACTCTTCTTGCTAGAGGCTTATAGAGGCTTTAGTAAATTAAAATTAAATTAATATACTTAACTTACCTTTTTATCTCTAATATTATCCTAATTATGCCTATCGGGCCTATACCTTTATAGCCTTATATATCTTATATATTAAGTTAATTTACTTATATTATTATAATTATTTTAGTATATTTTATAGCCTTAAGGGGCTATATCTATTATATATATTTAATATTAATAATTAATATATAATTTATTAAATAGCTATATTTATATTAAATTACTTATTATATTTAATTATATATATCATAACTATTTTATTAAATAAAAAAAAAGGATCTCTTATTTATATATATAACCCTCTTATATTATAATTTTATTTATATTAGGGCTAGTATAATTAGCATATAACTTATTTATACTAGCCCCGGTATAGGTATAAGCTCCTACTTTAGCATAGTCTTACCTCGGCAGCGTTACCGCTCACGCGTTCACAGAAAGCCATGAGATACTAAGGTAATAATCTCTATCTTCTAAGGCAAATTAAGGTCCCGAAATTAGGTACAAGAAATAAAATACTCAAAGACCTATAATACTATTCCTTATTTTTATCTCTAATCTAGCATATAATTAGGTTATTATATGAGTACTCTTTGCTAAGTATAAATATTCTTATAGTAGTCTCTCATATTGATTATTACATAGCAATAACTAAAGGGAGGGTGCCTTATTAGGTACCCCATCATGTTCTATTCGGCTACTCCAAAAAGACTCTCCGTATTCTTAAAGTTTACTGCTCGAGGCCAAGTGTTCCATTATGTTGACTTGGAAGCGTTCGCCCCGAGATCACGAGTACTCTTATATGGTAACCAAGGCCCTAACCCTACTTATTCATTCACGACCGCCTTTGAAGCTTTGCAAATGCCCGCTTGAAGAACCCATTCTTCCAGCTGGAATCCTCAGCGCTCTCAAGCTCCTCAAACTCACGCCTACCCGTAGTGAGATCGATCGCCGAGGCCCTCCAAAAGGTGGTCTTCTTTGCTATCTTCCACCATGCAATGTTTCCAACAAACACGACGAGGCCGATGTACTTGAGGATGAAAATATCAGCTTTAAAATGTGGGATGAATGCGTCGTAGCCTATAGGGAGATATTAGCCTAGGTGCATAACAGGACATCAGCTACACTTACCATTGAAGATGATGACAAGACTTGACGTGAACAGCGCAAAGTATGAGCCGTAGGGTTGGAAAGACCCGACATAAGGAAGCTCAGATAGGGCGATTCCTTGAGCCTTCAAAGCACGGCGGAAACGAATATGAGAGACCAAGATGGCGACCCAATTCAAGGCAGCGAAAACAGTGACCAAGCTGACTAGATAGCCAAAGACTTGGGAGGACGATTTGCTTGCATTCATATAGCCAAGGGCAATGCAAATAGATGGGATGGAGACAGCCCAGATGGGGTTTCCATTCTCACGGGTCTTGGTAAAGATTTGAGGGGCTTGTCCATCTTTGGCAAGGCCATAGAGCGTTCGGGAAGAGCAATAAATATCTGCGGGCGGTTCCTGTTAGCAACGTTATACTAAGAGTGTTCTTTGGCATACCTGAGCTCGCGGCACTTAGAGTAAACACCAAGAGGCATCCATTGATGATGTCAGGGAAAACGCCGATACCAGCAATGCTGACGGATACGACAAAAGGGGAGGCAGCTGTAAGAAAGCAAACGTTAGTTGAGCTTCACGTAATCATCCAATTCCAAACGTACCACCGCTGGTTGCTTGCTTGGTGGCTCCAATCAACATGTCGTTATCGTAGGGAATGGCCATGCCAAGGACCAAGACGCCGAGGATATAGAAGCAAGCGATGCGCCAAAAGGTCTGTCGAACGGCGATGGGCACATTCTTCCTCGGGTTAGGGGTCTCTCCAAAGGTCATGCCCACGACTTCGATGCCCTTCAAGACGGTCAGCTTCCATCTCATGTATCAAGGTATGCCAACTGACAGTGAATGCAAAGCAGGCCTGCACCATGCACGCCCACCATCCCAAGAATCTGCCCTTATTGCCCTCGAGGAGATATTCAGCAAACGCTCCCGGCTCTTGCCAATATTTGAAGCCCGATCGGTAATTGTTGGGTCCGCCACCCATGGCGCGGATGAATGTGGATAAGATGAGGGTCGTCATGATTAAGAGCTTAAGCGTTCCAAGCCAAAATTCGGTTTCGCCAAAGCTGCTAACGTGCATCACCTGTTTATGCTAGTTAGGTTCATACTTAGAGTAGGAAACAAGAGTGACTCACGTTGATGGTGATGATAACAGCACCAAAGACGGTGATCCAAATTGCAACGTTGAGATCCGGTCGCCAATACTGAATGACCAATCCAGCGGCCGTAAGGTTCGTAGGGGTGACCATGATGTACTTGAAAAAGTAATTCCAGCCGGTAGCGAAGCTATTTATCAATATTAGAGTTGTTCAACTTGATAGATCAGATCAAATACTCCTTACCCAAAGGCCGGGTCGACCATACGCGTGGCATATCCTCCAAACCCCTTATCCATAGGTAGAAAGGCCGCCATCTCGCCCAAGGCTGTCATGACAAAGAAAACCGTCGCTCCAATGGTACAGTAGGCAATGAGCTGACTACCCGGGCCTCCCCTGGAAAGACCACTTCCAGAGCCAATGACGAGACCAGTCCCGATTGCGCAAGCAATAGAGAACATGAAGACCTGTCGCGGCTTGAACTCTCGCCGCAGCTCTGGCTGCTGCAGTGTCTCTCCTTCCTGGGGGTTGGATTCGACCGCTCGCAGGTCTTCGAGCTTTTCCTTTTGGACGGGTTCAGCCATGATGGCGGCGATTCAGTACAATTCTGAAGTAAAGGATGGGCACGAGATGAAGAAAATTCTGAACGACTGAGGTTGGTTGAATCAGTTCGCCTGGGGAGAATTCAAGAGGAAATGGGTGCACTCTTTTATCCCTTAGTTCGGGAAAAGTTTGAACGCCTAGTTCTAGACCGAAACCGTCGCATCCCGCCCCAAGCTATCTCGCGCTTATCTCTGACGTAGAGAGTTTGCTTTACCCCAGAAAACAACACCCTAGTCTTTGTTTCCCCCGCAAGCATATCAGGGTTGCGTTGATCTGGATGTCCCCCGCGCTGAACTGACTCGTCGTATCGGCCTTGGTATCTTGGTGTTCTTGTGCCGAGATTGTTAAGCCGACTGCACCTCAGGGGCAGGTGTGTTTGCCTCTCGTTACCCTTTCGCTAGCTTCAGAGCGGAGATAGTCAAGCCAAGATTGTCATATCTGCCAGTCATGAGTGTCGCGAGTTGTTATCGAGAGATTTACCCAAGTGGCCAATACGTTAGCCCAAGGGCTAGGACGTGGCCCGTGGCTCGCTAGTTGACCACGGCGACTGTAACTACAAAGTTGACTTCCGAGCCCAGATGATTTGCCACTCTTCTCCTTCGGGACGAGAATGTTGATATCGTAGGGCGCTAACCTCGATCCTCACCTCTGTCCGCAGCGAGCATGGATGAAAGCGCGCACACGTCAAAAGGCAAGGCACGCAAGGGCCGGCCACCACTACCGGACACTCCACGCTGGACTAGCTTTGACTCCAGTAGCGAGGGGGTTGAGGAGACCTTCGGAGAGGGGTTCCGGTGCCGTAATTAACCGTATTTGTAATGGCGTTAGCCAGAACTCAACCTCACTCTTCTTCGGAGGTCATGTGGGCCTCCGAGCCTCCGAGGGCTCTCTCCCCCATTCAGCACAGGCGAGCACGATCAACCTTGATCAAGCATGGACCTCCGTGCGCCCTGGTCCATCTATTTACTTAACTTGATCAGCCAGGGGCAGGTCTCGTCACAAGGTCCAGACCAGCCCGTGTATCCTTTTCTCCCCTAGTTATTAATTACACTCAAACTACCATAGAGTCAGTCTACACACCAGATTCCGTCAGCCATACGTGTTTGTCTATTCCTTCTATATGGCTACGTATAGTCAACGCTAACACGCCTAACGATCTTTAGGCTTAGTTAACCTATTAAGGGCTAGGCTATAACTATAATAAAGAATAAATCTTAAATATAATATAATATTATAACCTAATATTAATATAATAGCCTAATTAAACTTTTATAGTAATAAAAGAATTATACCTAGCTATATTATTATAAAATTTTAACCTCTTATAGGTATTTTAATTATTTTAATTTTTATATAAAAAATAAAAAAAATATTTTTTTTTTTTATCTTTTAAAGCTATAATCTCTTAATATTATACCTTTAAATATAATACTAAGAATTATAATTAATTAAATAATTAAAATTAATAAATTATATAATTATAATATTATTATTAAATATAAGAATTAATCTTTTTTACCTTTTAATCCCTTTATTAAGATATATAGCTTTTTTTATAATATATAATTATTATTATCTTATAATATTAATATAATAAAAATTATTATAAATTAAATTATTAAATTAAATATTTATTTTAAGCTTATAATCTTAGGTAGAGAGATATTCCTTATAATATTAAAGCGCCTAGGGGTATTATAAAACCTTAAGCGCTTTATATAATATTATAAGCTATTATAGCTTAAAAATCTTAGGGGCATAAAGCTTAATAAATATTTATTTATTAAAGTTATAAAGAAAAATATAAATTAAATTAATAGCTTATTAAATATAATCTAATAGCTAAGAGAATCCTAATAAATAAAAGACTTATATAAGTAAAGTAAGGAAATTAAGGGGAAAAGATTAAGGTTTTTAAGTTATTAAGTTATAGGAGTAACTTAATTATTAAGAAAGAAAAAGGTTTTAATTATAAAGATAAAAAGGTTTAAGTAATAGCTACTAAGGTAAATTAATAAGAGTATAGGAAGGAAAATATTAATTAGAGCTTAAATATAATATCTCGGCGAATTACTAAACTTATTAGTTAGCGCATATATTATCTTTGAATATAATAGACACGCCTAATAGCGATTGGACCTTACTTATAAGCCATAAAGGTCAATGGGTTCATCTTTCTCTCTGGCCAGATTCCTGCCACTCCTGAAGGACAGTTGGTTGAAGGCACTATTGCAGAGAAGACACACAGGATGTGCCAGAATGCCAAGGCCGTACTGAGAGCAGCTGGATCCAGCCTTGACAAGGTCGTCAAAGTTCATGTGTGTTTACATGGTCCAAGTCAAGTCCGCAACTAACCTTGATAGGTTTATTTCCATAACATGGATGATTTTATGGAGTTGAATGCCGTGTATGCCGAGTACTTCCCCCATAAACCTGCTCGAAGCGCTTCTGAAGCCTCTAAGCTTCCAGCGGGCGTCAGTTTCATGTTGGACATTATTGCACTACAGTAGACCAAATATACCAGATCCAAAACCGTGAAATTTATGTTTTCTTTTCAATAAATTGAAGCTTCCGTCGTCGTCTGCTTTGTGTAAATGTTCATTGTTTGATTGCTACATTAAAGCGTGAGGCAGGGTCATGCATGATCGCCTATCTTTCAGGGGTACTGTGCCCCAAATTGACCGATCCCCCCTGTTCAAATCAACAAAGGCAAACGAAGACAGGACTCCAAGAACTTATTGCGGCATCAGAGATGTAACTTTTTTCCCCGGCAAGAAAACAATGGTATTGCTCTCCCGCATCCATGAGAAAACTCGACGACCATCATTTTCACTGAAGACCTGCATCTACACACTGCTTTGTATTGCAATAACTCATCCTCCGATTGAACTTCTATCTCTTTCAGACCAACCCCGAAATAGTTATTCTCCCTTCTTCCTGATGCCACCAATCGACTTGATAAAGTCCCTGTTCTCGGTCAACATCCTCTCAGGCTCTTGTCCCAACCAAGCCGGTCTCTCCCTCTGCAGTCCATCCTCAATCTCGAATGCCTTGCCAGCTTCTACGTACAGACTCTTACCAGCCAACAGAATCTGATCTTTGCCACTATCTCTGCCACCAACCATCACACCAATAATAACCTCGGCCACAGCTTCTGCCGTCTGCCAGTGCGCCCTGCCGCCGGACGCCTTGAAGTGGGGCAATAGATGGGCGGTCATGGGGGTGTCAGTAACTCCGGGACATATGACGTTGACTCTGACTATCGGAGTGGACGCAGATCCTTGGGGCACAGCGAAAGGTAGATGCCTCATGCCGCGGAGAAGGCCAAGCACCCCAACCTTGCCAGTCTGGTACAGTGGCACTCCAGGACTGTCCCTGATGGCACCAATGGAGCTCAACAGAGTGATGGACTTATTCTCTGGCTGCTCATGCTGCTTATCTTGCAAAAATACAACTGCGAGCCTGGTGAATCTCGCCGCCCCGATAAGATTGACATCCAGGGCTGACAAGTCACCAGGGTTGTCGCCGACCGTGTCCACCGTCAAACTAGTGTCGTTCAAGTATCTGCCCTTCTCGAGTAGGCCGGCGCAGTATACGGCGTGGTCGACACGGCCATGTCGATCGTAGGCTTTGCGGAAGAGGGTGTAAAGTTCCGTGTACTCTTGGACGTCGCTTTTGACAAAGGTTGCCGAGCCTTGGGGGGACACGGAGAGCTCTTGCTCCAGAGCACTGCCAGCCTCGATATTTATATCGCCAAAGTAGACATGGGCGCCGTGTGAGACCAGTAATCGTGTCAGGGATTCACCGATGCCCGTGGCTGCACCAGCAGCAACGACAACCCGGCCGGACAGAGAGGAGAAAAGAGACGTGGAAGGAACAAAACGAGACATGGTGGGGTTGAAACTTCTTGTCTGGTCTTGTGTCCCCTGCTTCCCCAGAGTTGGCAGCCGACGAGATATAGGGATATCTAGACACCATCCCAAAAAGACAACAGACGAGAATTGGCCATCCGGTTGGGGCAGGGGGTGATAACCGTCTGTGCTTGTCGGGGTTCCAGAGCCGTTGCTCCGGACTGATTCCCATCACCTCGCGTGTCCCTGAAGCCCGAGACTTTCCACCATCAATCCTCAATTCTTGTGTTCAAGAAGCCTCCCGACCATAACCGAGAAATAACAAGGACGTTTCGTCAGGGTAATCGGGGGTGTGGTGGGGCCGAAGATCCCTGTCTACCTCCGAAGCTCCGATGTCCCCTCAGAGATAACCATGAAAGCCTATTGGATGGGGTCGAGGCCTCGGAGGTCCTGGCCGAAGACCCCGGTTCAAGGATAGGACCAACATCGAGGTTACCACGGGTTTGTGTTCATCAAGGCTGTTTTCCGTCAAGGTCGGCTGGTCACTTTGTAGATATAATAAGGCTTGATCTTCATCAGACATTACTTAATACAACCACTCCTCTTCGGTGCTAACCAACATCACAAGCACCAGCATACTCATTCCTCTTTTTGACATTCACTTACGGCACGATGTCGTTCGATCATCGACTCACTGGCATTGATGGCTCTGTTCTCACCATCAGTGACCTCAAGGAAAAGGCGGGCAAGGCACTGCCAGGTCCTGTTAGAGGTTAGTAGAGCTGCCAGGGACGCTGCAGACGCCAGGCCGCTAACAAAGCCTACTCTTAGACTACTACAATGAGGGTTCCATGGATCTCTTGACGTAATTACAGGGATTTCAGACAAAATACATCGATAGCTAACCCGTCATAGTGTCGTGGACAATGAGGCTGCCTTTGACCGGTACAAGTTGAGGCCACGCAACTTGAAGGATGTATCAGCCCTGGACACCTCTACAACCTTTCTAGGAACAAGGGTGCGCACTGGGTTAATCCAAGCCCAAGGATTCTTGTACTCACCTTGACAGGTTACCTTCCCCTATGGCTTCTCGCCCAGCGGCCAACATCAACTGGCTCATCCGGATGGAGAGGTGGCCACGTCCAAGGGTGCAGCCAAGAACAACATCCCGATGGTTCTATCGACCTACACCTCAAAGTCGCCTGAGGATGTTATCGCGCAGGGGACAGGAAACCCTTACATGATGCATATCTGCTTCTTCAAAGATCGCAGCAAAACTCTTGAGATCATCAAGCGAGCCGAAGGTATGCTTACCTAGAACACGGCCGTTGCTCGAATACTTACATGAAGGGATAGCTGCTGGGTTCAAGGCCGTCATTGTCTCCGTTGACGTTGCCGCACTAGGCCTTCGACTTAATGAATACCGCAACAACTTCAAGCTACCCCCTGGAGTCACCAACGTCCTGATTGCGGATCCGACCGGCGCCCAGAAGAAACGCCCTGAATGGGATCCATCCATCACCTGGGGAGATTCTATCAAGTGGCTTCGACAACACACCAAGATGGAGATCTGGCTGAAAGGAAGTAAGGGAACCTTAGTCTTGACGTATTGTCCATCTACTAATCAAGTCCAGTCCTCAACCCAGATGATGTTGCCTTGGCCATCCGGCACGGAGTTGACGGGATCCTCATCTCCAACCATGGAGGTCGTCAATTAGATGGTGTTCCAGCGACACTAGATGCCTTGCGCGAGTGTGCACCAGTGGCCAATAATAAGATCAAGCTTGCCGTTGACGGCGGAATCAGGCGAGGATCTGACATTTTCAAGGCCCTTGCCCTTGGCGCAGACTTTTGCCTGGCTGGCCGACCACCTCTGTGGGGACTTGCTGTAAGCCCTCTCTATACCGACTTGCCTGTTGTATCTTTGGCTAACATATGCAATTTTTCAGTATAATGGGGCTGACGGTGTTGACTTGTCGGTCAAGATTCTCCTTCGGGAGTTCCGAACATGCATGGCACTCTGCGGGTATGCTCTTATCAATCTTCTTCTAGTCATGCTTAATAGTGCTAACAGATTTCCCACAGTTGTAAGACGGTCGATGAGATCTCCAGTGCTCATCTGTCAACATTGAGTCCGGATGGCAGGCTTAGCCGCCTCTAATTACATTCCAAAAATCCACCAATGAATCCTTTGCCCATACCTTCCAAGAGTAACGCTCCTTCCAATGTGACCATGGATCTTGAAGGCCAAATTTCCGGTGGACTGCCCTATCAAAAACATTCATCGCTATCCCATCTGACCAGCGGAATGAGTCACCATTGAACTGGTTTGTCAAGGAGAGCAACGCCGAGAAAGTGACCAACTCGCATGTTGTCGCACAGGATCTATCATCACACCATGTAATGTGCTTCGAATCAAGATCCTCAAAGTGGCCGTAGGTATCCGGGTCCAGCAATTCGATGTGTCTTCCCGACACCCCTTCAACATCTTTCCAGTAGCACACAAGGCGGTAAGATGTAATTACCCGGGATCCTCCATCTTCCTCAACAAACACAGAAGTACGGCATTGCTCGCAGCAATACCGACGGCGGCGCGAATGAGCGGACGACTTATCTGGATGAAACAGACGTCCTGGTGAGACTTGAAGATGGGGGCAGAATAATGGCGGAAATGATCGATGTAGGTCCCGGAGCTTGGCCACGTCACGGTCCAAAGAACTGTCGCCCTCCTCTGTCTCGTCATCTTTTATGCTCCATGCGAATCTAACGCAACCCATCACAGGTTCATGGGTGATAGTCGCATCTGTACAGGGACATGTCGGCTCCTGGCATCGTTCTTCTAAGTCTGTTTGCCTTGCTTTTGTTGCCTTCATGTCTTGCAATGAGAGTTTGAGGTGTGGGCAGTGGGTGTAAAAGCCCTCGTGTGCGATGCATCGCCGTGGCTTAGTCTTTCGGGAGGCATGGGAAAAGAAGATGGCAGCGTGTTCGGTTTGGCACCCTGCGCAATATAAGGGGTCCATCAAACGAGAAACTCGTTCCATGTAACCAGGTGATGCTCTTTCCTGCCGACAGGGTTCGCAGTATTGGATTTGACGAGGGGTATCGGGCGAGGAACAGTCGGATTCGAGGTACCATGATGGCGAGACGCGCTGTCGAGGATCGATTGATGTGAGTGGGTTTGTCGAAGGGGTCAAGGACTCAGTGCTCACAGCCTTGTCAGTGCCACCAGTACGTAGAAAAGGCCTCTGATCCTCGGCCGTGGAGCTCGGTGTCGAGATTGGGTCTCCCCAGGGTCTTCGCCGGCGCAGTGGCTCCTGATTTGATTGCGACATCTCGGGGGATGTTTGTTTTATCGAGCTATTGATCGATTGTGATAGCGTGCTTAAAACAGGTGAAGGATCAAATGGTTGGGATTGATATGCTTTGTTTATTTCTTGACATCACATCACGTGACACACTATGGGGCTGCGCAAAGTCAGAGTCAAAATGTCAACCAGGGTACCGTGTTATTTTGTAAATCCACACCGTACAGGATTAACGTACATTACATCGTTTTGCCCCATCCTGTGATGATGTAGGTAATGTTGAAAAGTGGAAACACATCTGCCTGGCCGCCACGAGAGTTTCATTTGCTAGGTGCTTGGAATCGTGTGTATTAATAAGATTTGCTTTAGACAGTATTTCAAGGCCGATTTTGGCAAAGGGGTCCGCCCTGTGTCCGAGATAGCTAACCACGTAGCTATATTTAAGTATATAAATCTTAAATAACTAAGCTCTATAATAATAATTATTTATTATAGACTACTTTATAAATCGCTTAGTATTAAATATAGTATTATACCTTACTTTATAGCTAAGCTAATCTAAGATCTACCTAGAAATTTTACTTATATTTATATTTCTCTTATTAACTTTAATAATAAAAATACTTTTATCTATAATTTACCTTACCTTAATGCGCCTTAACCTAACCTTATATATCTATCCAATACTAGAATATACTTTCTAGCAGGTATATTTAACGCGCTACCTGATATTATGCCCTTATCTGCATAGAATCTGCTGCTGCAGAAGTTTAACTAGGCCACTGTGTTAACATCGGGTCATAATATTATATTGTGTTTAAGATCTGTTCTTTATTATAGTTACAGCCCGGCCCTTGATGGGTTAACTGAGCCTGAAGATCGAAGGTGAAGGGTTTTGTGGCTGGGACTGGCATGGTCTATTTATCTCTAGAATATATTATAAGCACATGACAGAATCAAAACTCAATACCACAGATCCCCGCAGCCTCACGGTTTAATTTTGCTGTGGCCGGGAAGGTTTTCATTTTTGCTTTACAAATTTTTATATTGCATCTCATTACTCTAGCTTTTTATTTTGTGGCTGATTGGGTCTGTTTGAAGACATGATAAAACGGCGAGTGCATTGCTCTTCATCTCCTTAAGCATTCTTATTCCAGATCTTATTAACTCTAAATGCCCTTTTGAACTGCTATATACTCTCCTAGTCTCCTATATACCTTTTGAGCTCGTTGATCTCATTTACTGACCTCCTTGCAGTTGCAAGGCTTCAGGTCCCGAACCTGGCCTCGGAGAAACGATATCTCTGTCTACTTGGCCTCAAACTGACGGTCCGCGGCGGGCTCACACTGCTTGAACTAAGGGTCCGTTAAGTCCTTGAGCTCCTTCGCGGTCTTCTCGGCATTGTCGGCGCGGATGGGGGCATCATTAACGGTGGTGGTGTTTTGGAGAGTCTCCTTCAGGCCATTCATTGACTGTCCCGCCGACGCTCGATCAAGACTCGGTCGGAAGACTGGTTGCGCCTAGCGTCCTCAGACAGACTCGAGTCCTTGCGCTTCGCGAAGTAATTGAAGACATATAAGAGGGTAATAACCACCAGGGTAATAGTCGCCATAACATTAGTCTAGACCTCGAAGGATATAATTTAGGTGTCCATATTGGTCGATATTCTTATAGTGAGAGGATTATCTATGGAAGCGATTAGTAATATTATACAGCGGTAGAACGGATCACAAATAGACGTTCTGCAACGTAAATTAGATTAAATTAACATTATTGGGTTTAAACTCGCCGATATATGTTTTATTCTTATGCAGGAGACGCGAACAGTAGCCGCTACGGCTGGCCATTTGACTATTATTTGAGAGTTACTTGATTATTATTTAAATACTCTCTAATAATTATTTGACGGTGATTTGACCCCCCTTTGAGAATCATTTAAGGATGCCCATCAACCGTGTCAAGACACCATACCTACAATAGCAAGTCGAAAACTCAAACGGTAGGCTTCTTAGTCTGAATCATTGTCATTTATATATTAAGTATAAAACGGCGATGTATCACCATAGCTTGGCCATCGTTAACTAGGTATTGGTATGCTCAACTAAGCTCCGATATTAACCTCGACTTCGTAGCTCGCACTTCCTTGTTCCGTAATAATCTCATGGGCAATCTTCTCGGCTAAAGCATAGACAGTGCCCAAGGGGTGACCGGGAATAAGAACAGGGAAGGCAGAGGCATCAACAACACGCAGGCCCTTGACACCGTACACGCGGGCCTTGGAGTCGAGAACAGCCATCTTGTCTTCAGCCTTGCCCATCTTGCAGGTGCAGGCAGCGTGCCAGACGGTCATGAGGGTGTCGCGAAGAACAGCGAGAATCTGCTCATCCGTCTCGTACTTGGCACCAGGGTACACCTCATTGAGAACAATGTTCTTCAGGGGAGTGGACTTGGCAACCTCGCGAAGTCGTCGGAAGAGGGCGATGGCAACCTCCTGATCACCCTTGTCACCCAGGAAGTTGGGGTTGATGAGGGGTGCGTCCGTGGTCGAGTTGGATTGGAGAGTAATGTTACCGCGGGAAAGAGGGGCAACCAGAGCACCGTTGATGCTGGTGTACTTCTTGCCATCGGAGGGTTGCTGGAGGATAGGGAACGACCAGTCCTCGGAGTAGACGTTGAGAGGGATGAACTCAACCTCAGGCCAGTCACTGGGGAAGGCGGAGAGCTTCTTCAAGGTCTCGTTGGAGAACTTGGATCGGTACTTCTTGGGAACCTTCTCCCAGCCCAAAAGTTCGACCTGGTTGGAAGTGAGGGGGCCAGCTTGCTGTCCGGCATAGGCATCTAGGGCGCCCTGGAACACGGCGGGGTCGTTGATGGCCACGCTCAGAGTGTCCTCGAGACCCTGAACCTCGAAGGATGGTCCAAAGAGAATGTGGTCCCACAGGTTCTGACCGACACCAGGGAGGTCGGCAACCACGTCAATGTCAAACTCCTCGAGATGCTTCTTGGGACCGACACCAGAGACCATCAGGATCTGGGGAGATTGGAAAGCACCACCACTGACGATAACCTCGTTCCGGGCGGTGAGAGTGTACTGCATACCCAAAGAGCTAACCTCAACGCCTGTGGCCTTCTTGTCACTGTTGAAAAGAACCCGCTTGGCCAGACTCTGAGTGTACACCTTGAGAGTCTCGAGCTTCTCGCTACGGGCAGCCTTGACAAAGTCATCAGAGGCACTGCGAGTAGCAGTCTTAGGTCGGACCGAGGTTGTGGTGTATGAGTAGCCGAGCAGGCTGCCGCTGCTGAAGCCGTCGATGCTCTTGAGACCAAGGGACTTGAGGCCCTTCTCGACGTATGTAGCCCACGAGGGAACATAGTTGGCGTAGCTGACTTGGATAGGACCTCCAGTCGAGGCAAAAGCGGCGGGGTCGTAGTCGGTCGTCACGTTGGGGCCACGCTTGGTGTTGTCGGGAGGGGTGAAGCTAGGGGTAGCCTGGAAGTGAGGGAGCATCTGATCCCACCTTGAAATGGCAAGTTAGCTAGATGTCCCGAAATCTTGTGAACCATAAGACTACTCACTTGTAGCTGTCATCTCCAACCTCCTTTGCCCACTTCTCCATGGTACCGTTGGTCGGTCGGTGGTAAACGAGAAAGTTGAGCTGAGAGGAGCCACCGAGAACCTTTCCACGGGCATAGTGAATCTCGCGGTCATCTGCGTTCGTCTGGGGGGTCGTGGTAAATCGCCAGTCGCGCAGAGGGTTAGAGTCGAGAAGACTGGAACCGCTACCACAAGTAACACCACCAGGAGCCGTGGCGAGGATGGGCTTGGCGATCTCGAGGAAAGATCCAGCTTCGACAATGGCGACACTGAATCCAGCCTTGGCCAGTCGGTATCCGATGGTGTTTCCAGCTGTTCCTCCTCCCACAACAACGTAGTCGTAGGTGGCATCTACGCCAGGAACACCCCCGAGGGATCCGAGCTCACCGACCTTGACTCCATCACCAGCAAAAGCAGACTGAATAACGGCTTGCAGAGGATCAAGGAGTGTGCTAATGAACGGAACGTCAGCCGCTGTGACAAGCGTCGAAAGAGTGACAGCCAAGAACGTAGTGCAACGCATGGTGAATGACGATCTTGCAGGCGGATGAGCGAGTGATCTGCAATGCAATGCACATGAATCGATGCAGGGCACGAGTTGCACTTTATTCTTTTTCCATTCCCTTGGTACGACTTATTGGAGCTCGGACAGCTCATGGACGCCGAGTGCTCCCTTTCATGACTGACAGCATGAATACCCAAGCCCCAAGACCCCCCAAGACCCTGCTGACGGTTCCGCCGGGTTTCATGCGGTCTGGTCCACATTGCTGGCGCTAATCTTCAGCTCGCCCTGGCCATGTGGGTAGGCAGTTCCACAGCAGGGTGCTGCGGTAGATAAGGTATATTATATGGCAGGTTGTTTGGATAGCCGAGGTTTGAGATGAGATGCTGAGACATTCAGGTGGATTCAACTGTTCCAAGGCCCATTGACTGGTATGTACTGTTTAGACTGGCTCAGGCATGCAGAGGACACTGTACAGACAGGTTTGGACAAGAAGAGGGAATCACGAAATGGGTGAAAAGGTTGCTGCGTACAGAGCACAGAGAGCACTAAATCTCCTTAGTCCCCTCCAGATGGCAATAAGACGGGCATTTTGCCAGGACACCCCAGTCAATATCTAGGACCCATGCAGCGGAAAGGCTCTATCCATGGGCGCCTTGTCCAGCGGGCGAACCCGCATCTCCGCCGTCGCCGTTAGGGGGTAAGGGGCTCGGGAAGCTCCGGATTCTCCGGATTGTCTCCAGCACTCTCCACTGATCACCCTCGCTAGAGGCACGGCTCGTGGCAGCCAAGCTTACAAAAAACCGCATCTATCCTCATGAAAGCTAACAAAAAGTAAACCAAGTCCACAGTCAGATCTCACAACAGAAGCTTCCATCTCTTCACGAACACGTTGCAGTGATCTTGCAGTGCAGGATGCCTCCTGCGTCATTGTCACCTCGCGGTGCAACCTAGCCGGTCGCTAATATGCGGTTGGTCGATGCGGAGGTTACGCTAGTGGTAGATCTGACGCCGATCTCTCTTGGCGCATAGTGACGCGAGTCAGGACAGTCAAACCACCAGGTCAAAAGGGGCTGGACTCTGCTAGGAACAGTAGGTGCAGTAGCGTAGATTCTTCCTCAAGGTTGTTTATGGCGTTAAGTTCGGAGAAAAGCTGACTTTTAAGTTGAACATTTACCGATTTACTCTACCGTGATCCCCAGCCAGTCCTCCCAAGTTGATCAGTGCACGTTCAAATCGCCACAACAAGGTTGAGTCCTAGACAATTAGGCACGTAGGCCGAGACCTTTTCGGTTCTCGAGAGTGTTGCGAGGACCATGCCCATCCCATCTCTCCCCAGTTTTACTATTAGAGATCTCAAACGCTTCACTCTTGAACGTATCGCTTAGTTTGACAACTCTCTTGTGACCAGTTAGACATGGATCTTCTCGAAACCGCAACTGTCTCGATGCTTCGCTCCAGTCAATCATAGGTTGGTCAACAAATGTATCTGTCCCAAGGTGCAGAGAATCACGCCACTCTTCATCTGCCCTCTCCCTACAGTTGCGCAATGATGCTTGTTCTTAACGGGCCCACGACGGGCTTAGAACATTACTCTCCCAAGCCATAGGGTAGCGTAAGTAAGCCAATTGTCGCGATAGGCTGGGATCGCCAACGCCATCGCCGGCCCCGCCTTGGAAACCACGCGAAGTGACATCGCGCCTGTTAGCCAGGCACGAGTTGTAACGACGCGCGGTTCCGCAACCAACATAATGTCTATCCTAGTACATAACCCTCAAGCGCGAGCCCAGGTGGCGTGATGGATGGTAGCCTTGGACGTGGAATTCAGCTGGTCAGACAAAACGCGCTTAGCTACAGAAAGTTTCGCTTGTCTAGATCCCATGTGTGGCGTAGCAATTCGGACAAGGGACTTTCCGAGGTAGCCGACCGTCTTTCACACAAAGTCGTTAGTTTTCTCACTGCTGCGGGGGATATTGACACTCATAGGCTACAGAAAAAGAGGTAAACCGGTGTGAGGAGTGTCAACAAAACCACAGTTGGGGAATGTGTTTCGCACAGCCCAGTCTAGGAGAAGCCGTGATTCCATCAACATTTTGCCAAGATTGTTGGCACACCCATCGTATCGATGCCTTGGCAATGCCATTTTCAGATCATTCCCGTCTTGGTTGCGTCCGAACTAGTCCCTATCCATGATTATCCACGTGGCCTACCAACGGACTCACCGGGTGGTTATCATACGGGAATAGGGGGCTACCGTTGACGTTCACTCCGGACGCCATCGGCATCATTAGACCCGGTATCAACAGGGTTCGCTGCTGCCAAGTTATGTCAAGAACTGACAAGGGAACAAGGCTGCCGTATTAACCTGGAGCCACGTGTGCGGTGTTGGTGGCGTACACATTGGCGTACACGTGCCGACGTACGATGAATCGTAATCATGACTAACATTCTATCGATGGCTGTCGTTCGATTTGACAGATTCGCTAACCTTGAGGCTGTACTTGTTCAGGAGTGATGTGGTATTATGCATTGCAACCTTTCGGGGCGCTACCACTGCGATGGTTTCCTCAGACGCTTGGGAGCTCTTCTCATGCCATAATTGAAGCATATACCCAAGTTTTAATAATAAATAACAAAGCCAGTAAGGTTTAAAGTTTTACTGGATGGCGTTGTGATCATTCGGTGTGGAGATGCGGAAGGAAAGCTTCATTTAAACCAGCTGACGCCTTGAGTCACGGTTACAATAACAGAACATGTTAACAAATCGGTAATTATAACACAACTAAGTCTCTTGTGTCTTTTGTTCCCCTTTTTCGTCCTAGCGGCGTCTTCAAAAGGGGTCATCGGCTACAGACCACACAGTTCTTTCGCCCTCATGCACAAGATGTACCAGCCACCTAGACCAGGACAAACACCATAGCAGGGCCATATTTTTAATTACTAAAAAGAAAATATGATGGTATGTAAGATGATTTGAATCAACTAAAAGTGGCCCAGGATTTGTCATCAACTTATAAGACTGGTTGAGTGTAGGGTAAACCTAAACACACATAATACTGGAAGATATCTTGGTGTTGCACTTATCACGCGTGCAAGTGATAGAACTTTGCTAATAGTAGTAAAAAGAATAAGAGGCCTGCTAGTGGCCTACTCTAAGGTTAGGAGAAGGGAACGTAGATTTCAACATCAACTAATTATATGCAAACTTAGTAATGGTTGCAACAGAAGCCATACGCCCATAGATATAGCGGCTTGATTATGTTGATAATTATTTTTCTCTTATTGGGCGGCCTCGGTCCGCTACCGACTCATAAGGACAATACCTAGATATGGGTTTACATAATTTGCGTCATCAAGAAAACCAAGGGCTTAGATTCAATAGTAAGAATAAAGACTATAGGGCATAATACCTTTGTCCTCAGTTTCGATTCGTTTCAAGGTGCCGCGAGCCATAGTCGTGGTTGCATAAACTACTCTCTAGTGATTAACAGCGATAGGAGAGAAATTAACCAAGCCTGAGCCATTTGCAATTCCTAAACTCTCAACTGCATGAATGACGCGGGGATCAAACTTGGAAGAGCCTTTGGTTTTTCCAACCCAATTGTTCTTTGCATCTTCCTTCTCAGACATGTAGTGTCGGACTTGATGATACTCTCCTGCTGTCAATTCAATGGATCCATCGTCCTTGACAAGTTTCCCTTCATGATCGCGCTTGATGATCTCGAGTTTCGCATCTAGGCCATTCAGTTAGATTGATAAAATGAGAAAGACATATGTAAAGATGAGAAAAGGGTTCAGTCTAAGTAAAGTTAACTTGCCTTGGTTGGCATTGACAAAGTAAGCCATTGACCAACGGTCTTGATCAATGGGTAAGTTGTCAAACGAGATCTTGTGCAAAGTTGACTTCAACGTCTTGCCACTCCACAGTGACAAAGCATCACCAATATTGACAACGATAGAGCCTGGAATAAGCGGGACAGGCATCCACTTCTTTGAAGGAGTCTCAACTTCCAGACCGCCTCCCTGAGGCCAGACAAAGGTGACGGAGCCCCAATCTGTGTGAGAGTAGAGTCTTGGGAAATTCTTATCGGGTCTCTCGTCCATTGTGGGGTAATGGAGCATACGGAGGACACTCCCTGGGCCTCGCTCATCGTTGTGGGCTGCAGAGAAGTAATCAGCTGGCAGGCTGAAATGAGTTGCAAAGACCTCAAGGAGCTTGAGACCTAGCCCATGGGCCTGTGACTTGAAATCTTCGACATCTGCACGTTTCTTGGCATCCCACCAGCTCGGGATATTCTTGCCTTGGGCAACGTCGCCTCTAGTTCCTCCGAATACCATGCATTCGTTAACGCCAATTCTTTTCCAAGTCAGCAACATGCATATATCTTGAGGGCTAGAAAGTATACTTGGAATTTTTGACATCGTATCCTATCTGTCGTTCATCGACGCGGCATTCAGACTTGACCTCTAGAGGCTGTGCGCAGAATTCTTTGTGCTGGTACAAGGTCAGTTAGGCACAGCTGCAACCGCATCGAGTCACGCATCACCTACCAAGTCAAACATGCGATCGATCTTCTGCTGAGGGATTCCATGTCCGGTTAGAATCATGAAACCCCAGACTTGGCAAGCTTCAACGATCTTGGGGCCAAGGGCTTGAGGCCAGTCATCGCCGGTGGACAGATCAATGACAGGGAAGATTTCGGTCGCCATGACGAGCTAAAGATGGATCTTGGTCTAATTCAGTCAAGTCAGGTTGTGCAAGACATAATGCAAACCTTGCCGAGTGCATCATTTTTAAAGCAAATCCCTTGCTGACTCTTCTCAAGAAGCGAGGCGAAAGATGCGCAGAAGCTATTCTGTCGAAATACGGTACCCGGCCGAGATAAGACCTCTTATCTGGAATAGTAACGATCCTACGACGTTGATCCAGAGCCATCACAGATCGAGCTAGACTAGGGGTGGTGAAGCCCAGTCACTATTGGATCGAAGGAACTCGGCCGAGATAAGATAGTGGGAATCGATAAGCCTTGCGTCTGCTAACTGCCTGGTCCTACCCACGTAAAACTCGCCCGAATTCTGGACCTTCTTGCTAGTCATGCCAAACCTTTGAGAGCCACGAACAGAACCAGGAGGTGACTATCATGTCTACAACGCAAGATCGCGTTTCGCAACGCGCCCCCAGGTCTTGCCAACCATGCAGTCGGCGCAAGCTCAGATGCTCAAAGCAAATCCCCTGTTCCGCCTGTGTCTCGCGAGGTGTCCCCGACGACTGCCGCCGGGAGTCAGTCATCTTGTCCAAACATACTGCAAAGGCCTACAGACCTCGTCGCTCCGTTGCAGATGTCATCAGCCCGAATCTTCCTCCTTCCCCAGCTTCTCAAGACAACATTAGTCTTTCCGAAATTCCAGATGCGTCCCCAAAGACTGATGCAAGACAGCCTACGGCTAGGGAGGACGGCAAGGAAATAGAAGGGTCCGGTAACAGTCTTCCACTTACGTCTCAGCCACTGGACGGGACAGGTCGCTCTATAGGCGTTGCAGCCATCTCTTCCTTACTACAAGAGAGCGAACCGAGACAGTCTGGCCCACGTAACTATGGGAACACGCATCCTGTGTGCACAGAGGTTGTGCTCTCTCTCGAAAGTCTCGTTTGGGGAAGTCACCTCGCGTCTGGCACAGACAAGCGGCCTAACCCTCCCACCAACACCGAACTACCTGATAGGACGACCCTTGTTCTACCGGCTCGTCTGGAAGAAGCCATCCTCCAGTTTCATCAAGAACACATCGCTTGGATGCATAATGTCATACATGTTGCTTCGTTCGCCGAGGAGTGCATCAGCTTGCGATGGGAACAAGCCATACCCAGCATGGCGTGGCAGTCGCTTTACTGGTCTATGATGAGCGTGAGTTGAACAACCAGGTTGAGATGACCAGCCCACTGACACCCGTGCAGGCGGGTTTATTTTACATGAAGCATCAGTCTTGTGTCGAGCTTGGAATCCCGGACAAGACTACGCTCACCGAAACATGCTACCGCAGAGCTCTGGACGCCCTCGCGTCGTCTGACTTTATGGCAGTTCATTCAAGTGAGATACCTCATCCTTGGTCGGTGTGCTAGGTCAAGGTTGATCATTCCTAGTACACGCTCTCCAAGCCATCTGTCTACTTGTTCCGTGCGCATATGCTTTCGGGTGAGTAACTTGACCTTGACACACTGACATGAACTGTACCCGAGGCTTACTCAAGTCAGAGATTCCAAGCGCATCATTGTCCTCTTATCCTCCGCAACCTGTATCGCACAGCTCATGAGAATTCACGTCATGAGCCCGACTCCACCTGAGCCTGCTTCCGCAAACTCTTTGATGGAACACGAGATAAAAAAGCGAATCTGGTACTTCCTAGTGATCCAAGATTCCTACCTTACCACGTTCAAGGGGACTTCCAACATAGTCCCTGCCCATGCCAAGACTCCTCTGCCGGTGAACTGCTCCGAGGTGATGGAGGAATTCCAGGACGCTAGCAAGGTCCAGGTGCTTCCACTTTCGACACCAACGCAAACAACGTACATGATTCTCCAAGTCCACCTTACCAGCATCAAACGGAGATTACACGAAGGCACGTATGAGACCGCAGGCAAAATAGTCAACGTCGCGGAAAGATACCAGAAAGTCTTGCAAACTGATCAAGACTTGGCCATCCTCCGGCAACAACTTCCTCCATGGATGAAGACCAAGGCTTGCCCAACGGACGCGGCGCCTTTCGTAAGACACCAATGGCGGACCTTTCGAATATCTTATGCACACATGAAACTATCCATTCATCGGGCATTCTTCTGTCACTCATTTACTATGAAGCAATTCAGCTACTCGCACCAGGCGTGCTTGGATGCCGCTCGCATGTTGCTGTTGACGTATCGCGACACGGCTCAGGCCAGCGAATTTGACAGCTGGACTGTTCCAGCCCACGTCATCAGCGCCAGTCTCATTGTAACTTTGGACATTGTACTTCGCGATAGTGGCGACGACTTTGACCCCAATGTTGCAAGATCATTCGCCGATGATAAAGGCCTCATGTTAGAGTGTCTGGAGCTGGTGGCAGCTACCCAGTCTAGCCTGCTGGTCAAGAGAGGCCTTACTCTGGTCAGCAAACTTCTTTCCGACAGAGAACAGAGGATCCCGACCTATTCACGTTTTGATGGTCCGGAAATCTCAAAGCTTGTACAGGAGGTTGAAGACGCATTGGCAACCGAGGAGGCGCCCCCTACCGCGTACAATGTGACATTCGAGGAGTACTTGGATATGATGGGAGACGATCTTTTTTCTTTCATGGACCACGAATCGTGTCTTCTAGATTAGTCTTGTATCGTTCCCCTAGAGCAAGATACGCGAGCAGTTGGCATCTCGCCTGCTTATCCCGAGAGCTTATTCAAAGCGCTCATCCGAGCAATAAACCCGCCTCGGGATTTTGATCCATGTGCCCAATAATCGATGGCTGGTCCATTATCAGATTGTCGAGACCGAGTCAACTGGGCCGGCGGTGACCAATATCTTGGAGCTCGTTAAGCTATCTCGGCCGAGTACTGATTGACGCAAGACCAAAGCTTGTAGGGCCGCCAAGAGTATCCTTACCCTGACTTGGTATTCAAAGATCCACAAGGACTTATAACTATCAAGTAGAAGCACCATATGATCCTTGACTTGTTACTCTCTGTGCATGTGCATCTTCTCGATTGCGGGTATCGTTCCGTTTCGTTTCGCATCGTTACAATGGATCGTTTTAAGAGCCACGTTGTTTCCAGCGCAGAAAAAACCAAGTTGAGGCTCACTTCAGCCAGCTCGTGGTCGCTGCCGAAGCAGAGCAGCAGCTTGGCTCCGGAATACGTTTGGACCAATGCAGGTGAGTATTATCATAGTATCGAGAACAGTGACTGAGCTAACCGCATCATCTGATAGACCTCGACCCAGTCCCAGAGGAAAGACGCACGTGGACAGCTTGGTCGTTTGCTGGTTATTGGTTCAGTGACCTCTTTACCATAGTCGGGTGGCAGATCGCATCGAGCACTATCTTGAATGGCCTCGGTACTACTGACGCCATTCTCATTGCAATGGTGGCCGGCTTCTGCAATTCTGTACCAACTGTACTCAACGGCTGCATCGGTTCTGACCACCATATCGCTTTCCCCGTTGCCATTCGTGCCAGCTTCGGGTACTGGTTCTCTTACTTTGCTGTAGTAACACGCTGCGTCCTGGCCTTGTTCTGGTTCAGCATCCAAGGTTTTGGCGGTGCCTCGGCCATGGCGGCTGTCATCACATCCATCTGGCCTAGTTTCAGTCACCTGCCGAACCACCTCCCTGAGTCGGCCGGAATCACAACACAAACCATGGTAGCGTATCTTGTGTACAACTTGATCCAATTCCCACTGCTTCTTATACCCACCGATCGGCTTCAGTGGCTCTTCTTCGCAAAGGCAACATTAGTTCCTCCCATGGTCATATGCATGACTGTGTGGACATGTCTTCGGGCGGGTGGCCGTTCAGACATCTTTCAGGTCCAGCCTACAGTGCATGGCACTGATAGAGTCTGGCTTTGGCTGGCTACCATGACTTCTGTTACCGGGGGATACTCCACTATCGCGGTCAACATCCCCGACTTTTCGAGGTTCAGCAAAAACCGCACAGCGCAGTGGTATCAACTGCCCTTGATCCCATTTTTCAAGGTCCTCACGTCTTTGTTTGGCATTATTTGCACAGGAGCCTCAATCCACATCTATGGCGAATACGTTTGGGATCCTCTCCAAATTGTCACGTCTTGGGGGACCACCCCTGGTGGACGATTTGCAGCCTTTTTAGCCTCCACTATCTGGCTTCTCGCACAGATTTGCTGCAATATCTCAGCCAACTCCATTAGCTTTGCCAATGACATCAGCACACTTTTCCCAAGATGGTTCAACATTCGTCGGGGCGTCATCTTTGCTGCCATTGTCGGAGCTTGGGGCCTGGTGCCTTGGAAGATCAATTCTGCGGCAGGCAGTCTACTCAGCTTCATGTCTGGTTATGCTATCATACTCGGTCCATTCGCAGGAATCATGATTGCCGACTACTGGATCATACGACGCCGGTCATTAGATATTGCTAGCCTCTACGATCCCAAGGGCAGATATCGATATAACAAGGTACTACTCATCCATCTATCAACATCCTGTTAGATTCTGACCATATCTATAGTTCGGTACGAACTGGAGAGCATTTATCATAGTTTTCGGTATTGTCGGGCCTCTTGTGCCTGGCCTCGCTAGGGCGGTAAGCCCTTCAACCGTCCACATCGGCATAGGTTTGAGGCATTTGTATAGTATCAGCTGGCTTTTTGGCTTCTTTACTGCCCTAATCTCATACTTTACACTTATGAAAGCATTCCCGGCAAAGTCAACCTTGACTCGGAGGGACGAGGTTCTGAATGGGTTGAATATGATTGAATCAGATCTTGAACATCAACATGGGTCTGACATTGTGGAGGAGAAAGTTACTAGTATTCCAGAGGGAAATAAATAAGCTAGCACAGAGATTGGGAGAAAATATTAATTACTGCAAACCGAATAATATGAACTACAAGGCTATGCAACCTGCAATAATATACAATCGGCTATGAAGCACAAGACCGACTCAGCTTAAGCGCAGCCGAATAGATTCGACTCAAGCCCAAACTATCCCAACCCTGAGATCAATCTAGAAATCAGGAAGACCAGCCTCGTCAGCACAGGGGATAGCGCAGTCACCTCCCCATCGTGCGCCACCAGAACTAATTAGACTGTTAGTATAAACCACAACACGATTGGTAGTAGGGGACGAACGAGAACTGATCCTTGACACCAGAAGAGCAGAGGCCGCGGCAGTTCTCACCGGCAGAGTACTGGCAGTAAGAGATCTCGCCCTGGGATTCTGCAGTCGTTCACATTAGTAAAAACTTCAAGCTATATGGGACTTCGTCTCTTACCCCAGGTGTTGAGAACAATGTTGTAGCCGTCGCGGTAGAAGACATATTGGGGGTTGCAAAGTCCCTGGACCTCACAGGTCTTGGTGTTGGGGATACCACCCCAGGCGTGCTCCTTGGTGGCAGTGTATTGGATCTACACTCCAAGGTTAGTACAGTTCATCTCTTGGCAGGGCATATATACTCACGCTGTAAGTTCCAATACCCTGGTCACCCTCGTAGTAGACAACGGGAGGGGTGTTGTTAGGGGGGTCAATCCAAGAGCAGCTATACTACTGTTAGCATTATTTTACTTCCCTCGAAGAAAATCCTCACTTGTCGTCATTGTGAGTGGCGGTTCTGTCCTTAGAGCCGCGGTCATAGGTGCGGGTCTCGCAGTTGCCACCACCCTGGGTATCAAAGTAGGTGCGGCAGCGGCCGTGGTTGTGCCAGATGATGTCCTGGCTATCATCACCAAGAGCATCAAGGGTCTTGTCGGCGATTCCGCTGATGATCTTGTTCTCCATCTTGGAGAGGGGAACCAGGAAGAGACCAGCAAGGCCGCGGACAGCCTTGGCAGCGACAGCAGCCTGGCGCTTGGAAAGGTCGTTGTCACGGGCTTCGATACCGCCATTCAGAAGCTGAAGAGTCTCAGCGTGAGACTCCTCAAGCTGGCGGAGTCTATCTTCGTCGCGGATCTGGATCCCCTTGCCAGCAGGCGGGAGAGCCTGGGGGAAAGCCGAAACGGCCGGAAGGGAGAGGGCGAGAATGTTGATGAACTTCATTGTGATGAGTATGGTATCAGAGAGATTGACGAAAAGAAGTAAAAGAATGTGGTGTAGAAGACAAAAGAGTGAAGTAAGTTGGTGTAAGTTGCTGGATGAGCTGGTGGTGAAGAAACTATTCTACAATGATGCTAGACCTCTATATATACACGATATGTCTTACCTCTGTCCTCCAGGTGTTGTAATCTCGAACTTGTTGATGAAGGATAATCAGCTCCATCAAAGGATCAAACTTCATGAGACCGTGAAGGATTGCATACCTTCCTTGTTGAACATTTTGCCCAAAAATGTGGAGGATCGATCGAGTAAATGGTTCAAAGTAGATAGATCTGCGTGTGACAAGGACTCTAAACACCGAGCATGGGCAGATCCAAGCTCGTCAGAAATAAGAGCTGCAACGTTAGAGGTCTCTTTCCGAAATTAGAGTTCTATGCGTCTGGAGAAACTGGCCACTGCTTGCTAGATGCCCTAGAAGGCTCTCAGAGTATGAAGAGACCCCAGCGGCCGGGTTGCCAAGACGGTGTTTGCCGCTTGCAGAGTCCTCCGTGAGCTCTGAATGGGTGCGCGTCCCTGCCCCTGCCCCATAATCGGACATTCGTATCGACAAACGTCTCCGCAAAAGCTGGACCATGAATCTTGGCACTGCCTCAGCCAAGAGGGCGTTTAATAGGAATCTCCTGGCTTGGCAGAAAGCCTGATAGGGCCAGGAACGAGACTTAGGCGAATTTGAACCTAGCCTTCAAGGTGATGCTGATAACTCCACCATAAGGAAACGTCCGATGCCCATCGGGGCTTGGACTCACTGCCACTGTCATTTTTCACTTTGCTCATTCTTGGAACAAGGGCGACAATCCAAGGTTTCATCGAGATGAATAGGTCTATTAGCAGAGCTTTCGCGTAGCTGACCGTTTCTAGCCAGCTGTATGCACACAGCACGAGTATCATTCAGCTTACAGTCTTACAGTATGGGGCGTCAGCTCACAGGGCTGGCTTTGAGCCACAAGTAATAGGGGTCGCGTGACGGAAGCCGCCCTCGATTTGTCCGGATGCAACACCAATAGAAACAAAAGTACCTTGTTGAGCGGACAAAGATCGGAGCCATTGACTGTGCCACACAAGATGAAGCGCGCTGTGGAGATGGGAGCCAAATTCCCCGGGCTCCATTGGAACCATTTACGCGGTTTAAGCCTAACCCAGCGCCTAAATGGAAATTGCAGGCAAATCGTTGACCTCTTTGAACATGTTTCGTACGACATCAAGTCAAATCTGATACCCGCCATGCGGCTCATGCCTCTTGCTACATAAAGACGAGGGTTGCCATCCTTCCAAGAGGATGCGGAAACACGGCTTCCTCTTGGTCCGGCAGTCCCTACAAGCATGGATCCTGTTCCTTCTCCGTCACTTCCCCACAAGCCAAGAAAGATATCATTTCCCAAGCTGACACAATTGCTTATCACTGCGGGCTGTGAAGTTTGGCGAAAGTTTATTTTCCTGGCGCTCCTTGGCTGGCTGGGCCGATTATTGGACGTGTTTGTGCCTGGTCACTAGCAGGCTCTGGCTAACTATCCTTTCATTCAAGGCAATGATGAAGGTCGTGCCATGCTATTGGCCAAGTAACGATGGCTCTACACATGTCGTGTCTCATGTTGGACATGCTTCATTCCTCATGCGATGCAGAATGCCTCAGGCTGAGCCAGAGGCTCAGTCAGGAGCAGTATCATCTCGATAACTAGAATCATGAGAATTTGTCCAAATATGAATGCTAAGTAAGGGCTGAACAAAAATTGCTCCACGATGTAGCCATTGACGGATGGCTTGGGGCGCTTGTGTCAGGGAAAAGGTATCGTACATGGCAAGCATGCTTTGCGATACGCCCGGTTTTTACAACGTGTCTCATCTAACGGCTGGGAAGAAGAGTACCTTGAACGATTGTTCTACGGAAAGTGAAAGCTAACATTGGACTACTTCCACCCAGAGACATCTACGCAAGCCAAGTTGGTACGAAACGTGCACACGTGATCCATCACGGTATGAAGTGATGAGTGGAAACAGACTGCATATTGAGGTCTAGCTTGAGAATTCTTGACACAATCCAGTGCTGCTGTATCTGAACAGCATTACACATTACAGAACAATGTGACTAAAGGAACGAGTGATCACATCTCTTCCTCACTTCTAGGGCAAGCCCCAGGTAGCAACGAAAAGAACAAAAGATACGCCTGTCAGACGTCCATCAACACCCACCCCAACCGCGCGCCCGAAGGCAAGACCACAGTCAGGGTCGAGATCATCAAGAGAAAACACTCTCTATACAGCAGCTGTTCAAGACAACTACCGCCCTCCTTGCGGAGAGATCGAGAGGACCAAGGTATTCACTCTAGGGTGTTGAGGATATACATTCATCAACCAGGGTGGGATCTGTGGCTCTTTTGGAGAACCAAGAGAAGGTCGAATACTATAGAAATGATTCTCTGAAGTATTGTCGACATGAAGAAGAAAAGAAGAAAAAGTCCAAAAGCTGGGAGGAGAGACGAAGTTTTATAGAGGATGAGTGGACTGGACTGCCACTTCTCACCGCCTAAAAGTTTTCGGCCTCATTTCGCCTCCAGCCCCCGAATTTTGGACCGGCCCGAAAGGCCTCAAGTGACGGGACCACCCACCGCCCACTTTCCGGCATCGAGTCTTTCAGGCGCCTTACCCTATAGTCATGATGCATTCAAGAATTTACAGATGTTTCCTGCTGATGATGGCAACATAGGACACCTTATTATTTTGGTGCTGTTGAGACTTGGTTTGCATCCATGAACCACCAATTTTCCCATCCAGTTGCCGCTCATCTGGCTCAACAAAAGACTCGACTGGCTCTAAAAATCGTCATTCACCAGCGTACTACGGAGTACCTAGCAGCAATTAACTTTCCAAACCTGTGATGAATCCAAGGGTACAACACCCATGCCATTGGCCCCAAAACACAACTCTGGCCCACTCAGCAATCTCCGTAGCGATGAAGAACCCCATAATCAGAGTTTTTCTCTAGCCTCCATGCCCGGATATGGATGCGATCTTCTAACCGAAGCTGTCAGCTAATCTCTAATGTCGTGACAAAAACTCCGGAAGCCATGATAATTAGCCCAGTCTTTGTGGAAACAGGCTCGGGCCCGTCTTCAGCGTGAAGTCAAGAAAGCCGGTGATAGCCTCTCTCGCGGCTGTTTCTCTGTTAATGGTGGAGACCAGCACGCGACCTGACTTGATTAGCGCGAAGGACGCGACAGAGACCTGTTTCAGGATCGCGGCTTCGGCCGAGATGGAGGAAGAGCCAAGCATCAAATTCGACGTTCATTCCTTATCGCGATAAGAGTCTCTTGGCCCTTATCAGACGCGCCTTTTAATACGCGTTTCAGTTTCGAGACCGTTTACCCATTTACCACGCGTAAAAAACGTTATGTGAACCGTCATTTCCCACATAAAACCTGCCCAGGACCCAACTCCAAACGTTTCGGTAATCTATGTTTATCATAAGCGCATCCGGAAGTGGCCAACTCTCCTTCATGGCGGCCACGTTTATATCCTTAATCAACTCACACTACACGGTCCTAGACCAACACATCCGAGAACTGGATATGATCTTTGGCGATTTCTCCCCCAAAACGCGACCTAGAAGCCTTTTAAGCGTTCCAGGCGAGCATGAATGGTTCTTTGGGAGGTGATATTAATACTATGTGCTGTAACTTGTTGGTGATGAGGATGGCAGCTCTGTTCTCAACTAAAGACACTAAACAAGCCATTCGACTTAGTTGGTTTCTGGAAGTCGAGTTGCTCGGACGAGTGAACGCACGCTGGATGGCCATCGAGGCCCAATAGGAAGCTCAATCGTGACGACAGAAGGCATCTATAGGAGTATAACGGGCTACTCGTCCCCAACTCCCATACAGTGGCTATTGATGGAAATGTGACATCAATTCGACCACAGCCGTCTCCTGATATCCTGAAATCAAATGATTTAGTCCTATTCAATGAGAATGGTGGTGGAACTTCCAAGTGAAGTTCCTCATATACTATAGAACACACTTACCTCGCTTCCCCCCTTTGTGGAAGTCTATATCGACATCGCTCTACACGTCACTTCCAAGGATAATGCACATAATGGCATTGATAAATTTCCCACCATCTTTCTTTCCTCTTCTTTTCAGAATTTTTTAATCTTTCGCGGCGCAGCTTTTGCCCTCTATTGACTGGTCCTTTGAAATAGATGTTCAACTGACCGAGTTCAACTTGATCGGGCGGCTTATGCCAACGGTACAACAGGTTTACCACGAACTGCTATTATATTAAATGCAGTTGGATACTTGAGACTCTACTGTGGATCGTATAGTCGAGACTTATAGGTCTCAGAACCTGGGATAAGGTCTGCGATGGTAGGGCCTGTCGTGTTGTGGCTAAGGTATCGATGCAGCTCGAATTATTGTTAATTTCTTTCATTGCAGGACGAGGCAGTATCCAAAGAAGTAAGATCTATAGAAGAGATGTGATAACATAGGAGAAAACTTAGATTACTAATCTACTATTTTTGTTGCGTCTTTCTGGTTGCATTTAGATGATGATTGCGGGTATGTTTAGTCTCTCCCCATGTACCTAGTGCTTCCGCAAAAGTTCCAAGGTTTGGGGGCCAAGTCGTTACGCGGATGAGCCACAGCTATGCATGGGACCTTTGAGAGAATCGTGAGAATGTGATGCTTCGCTTGATTGAGGTTGGTTGGACCATGTTCTTGACCCCCAACTCAACCGTTCATTCTAACCACAACACAAGTCCCTCTTCTATTCGCGCTTCGAGAAATGTCTTCTCTGTTCCATTTTCGTGCAGACTAATATCATTCGGCACTTTAATTTGGCCCCAAAAAGCACAATCGGGGTAGAATGTCTCTCCTTGACTGTTTAATAATCTTGATGCATCCTCGGGGCCAGAGGGTGACCTTCCGAACGCAGAGACGTAGACATTCAGTGACTGACATGTTTCCACGTAATGAGGCCAACTGAATGCATGAACCTCGACATTGATACGTCATTGGACGAGATATGAACTCGGAAAACGATACGACTGCCTTGCTGACTGCAGCCTGCAGGTGTAGGGCTGACCCCCCTGTCTCGGTGAATGCCAAGACCCCGAGGCGCCAATCAGGGGCCCGCATCGCCAATATTTATCCGTCTCTTTGTTATCACCATCCAGTTGCGACTATGGCGTTCTTGGTAAGCTGGATGGAAATGGTCTCTCTTGTGATTCTGATGTGATTATGAAGCTGCAATTCAACATTTAGACAGAGATGATCTGATCACGTCAGCTACGCAAGGAAAGAATATATAAGTCAGTTGGTCGTCTGCAATTATTTTCACTTCATCATCAGTTCAAACAACACTTACAAGCAACACAACACAACACAGCTTTCACCAACACTCACCCTTTACATCTACACATTCCACCTAAAAATCATGCCTCATCTCGCCGCCGTCCAACCTGCCCCCAAGGCCCCCTTCGAGGTCAAGGAGGTTGAAACCCCTCAGCCTGGACATGGCGAACTCCTCATCAAGAACGAAGCCATTGCAATTCAGCCTATCGATGCCAAGATAGCTAGAGTCGCAATGCTTCCAATTCCCTACCCAGCTATTCTTGGTAGTTCCTTCGCTGGAACTGTCACCGCTGTCGGCCCTGAAGTCACTGGCTTTGCTGTCGGTGACAAGGTCGTCGCGGCCAAGACTGCTGGGGCCGTCGAGAACAAGAACAGCGCTTTTCAGAGATCTGTTATCGCTAGCGCTGTCACTACCACCAAGCTTCCAAGCGACGCATCCTTGGATACTGCCGTTCGCCTGGTGGGTAACCTGGCTACTGTTCCTGCGCTGTTCCAAGCCACTTTGAAGTTGGTCAGACCAGACCCCACCGCTGCACCAAAGCCTCAAGGCAAGAAGATCCTGATCTACGGAGGAACTTCCAGTATCGGCAGTCTTTCGGTCCAGTACCTCAAGCAAGCTGGATACGACGTCGTCACAACAACCTCACCCCGCCACGAGGCTTTCGTCTCCCGTCTTGGTGCCTCTAAAGTCATCGACCACACCCAGGACCCAGAGGCCACGGTCAAGGCTCTCATTGCCGCGGGTCCTTACGACGTCGTCGTTGACACCATTTCGACTGCACAGACCGTCAAGCTCCTGGCGGACGTTGTCGCTGCCCAAGGAGGCGGTAATGTCTACGCCCTTCAGCCCCCATTTGCCCCAGAGACCCTCCCTGATGGTGTCTCGCGCGTCTTTGAGGGCTGGTCTCTGCTGCTAGCCAAGGAAGAGCATGCCGAGTTGCTCAAGTGGACCTTTGCTACCTATTTCCCTCAAGCCCTTGCAAAGGACAGCCTGATTTCTGTCCCCGCGAGGAAGATCGCCGGTGGACTTGGTGGATTGGACAATGCGTTGGATATCCTGATTAAGGGAGTCAGCAGCGAGAAGCTGGTTGTTGACCCTTGGGAGTAGGAGTGAGATGCATAGAAGCACTACGAGGCTTTCGTTTGTCTATGAGTGGGAACCTTGAGTATTTACCTAAGAATAAGAAAAACTATTTTTAATTTCATTTTTAATCTTATGCATTGTGTTTTAATCTGATGCATCAATCGCAGAGCATTATTAACGTGAATTGCCTATCCTAAAGGATTCTGTGTTTGCATATCACAATAAGCAAAGACGTAACAAAAAATATGACTTTGCTTTAATAGATGCATTTTAACAATTTGAATATATGGCTATTTCTTTTTAGAACTTGACGCTCATTACCCTCCAAGAGGATGAAAACTGTGTGCCCTTATTTACAAAATCTTCTTCTCATATTTACCCGTCAGAGGCACATCCACGTGCAAGACCAGCTTCTTATTCTTGCTGTCATATTCCGCATCACCTCCATAAGGCTTGCGGTTCACTCCAAGAATAGTGATTGTCTCAATATTCACACCAACATCGTAGCCAAACGACCCGGTCATGCTGAACTTGCCCTTGGCATACTTGAAGTCAATCTCGGAAACTGCGTCCTGGATGAGTGACTCGCCGTCATCAAGGTACAGTGATCCCTTGGCAGAGCCATCAAGGCCGGGAGCGATCACAATGTTGAAACCCTTCTTTCGGAGGGCGGTGGTGGTGTTGGCGCTCTCTACTCGCTGGGGGTAGATAATACCACCCTTGTAGTGAATGGTGATATCGGTGACATCAACCTCGGCATCGACATATTCGCCGCGTCCGCGGACGGGCTTTCCGGTACCCCATTCGTAAAAGATGTCGTCTGGGAGGTAGAAGTTGACACTGGTGCTGTTCTCCTCGGTAACAGGGCTGACAAGGATGCCATCACCGTAGAAGAATTGCAGATCGATGGGATACGTGTTACGATCGTTGGGGTAGTTGAAGAAGAGAGGGTTCAAGGTTGGGGTGCCGGTCTGATTTTGCTTGTAGATGGCGGTGTAGATGTAGTCGACTTGGCTCATGTTAGTAATGTTCTGGTTGAAATAGAGTTGATTACTTACGGAGTTGGTATCTGATGGCAATTCCCTTGCGGGCTGCTTCTGCCACCTTGGGCCAGCGGTAGAACTCTTGCGAGTTGGCCGAAATCTCGTTGTGGTTGCGGAAGAAAGTGTAAAAGGAACCAAGAGCGGCCCATCTGTCGATCAGATGTTAGTGGCTGCATTTGCTATTCAAGTAGGGACTGCTTACCGAGCACAAAGAGTTTCAGTGACGTTGCCACCAAAGCCACAGACATCTGGTCCAACGACGGGAACCTGGTAGAGAGATGCAAACTGGAGGATCTGGCTGATGGAGTGACGGTACCAGAGCCAGCCGGAAATGTTGTCTGTGAATCAGCCGCATTAGCATGGTTTCGTGTAAATTACAAAGAACTGCCTCACCTCCAAGCCAATGCGACACGTCCTTGCCAGATCCGGCAAAAGTGCTTCGTGTAATGACAAGAGCACGCTTATCAGGACGTCTAGCCCGCATAGCATTGTGCGAATGGGTCGACATCATGGCTCCATAAAGGTTGTGAGTATCGTACTGAACGTAACCACCGCTCTGGACAAGATCCGTATCAGTCGTGCTGTCAGCAAGAGTAGGTCCAGCACCGTTCTGGATCATGTAGGGTGGCCTGATGAGCTCGCGGTTGGGAAGACCCTTGCACTCGTCGGGGCCGCAGCCTGAACCTGTGCGCTTGCCGTGCTGCCAATTGGAACCTGGACGGCCGGGACGGTTTTGGCCCCATTGGTGGCTGGAAGAACGCCAGTTGCCGGCACCGTGGTTACGGTTGGAGCGAGGGCGGAGGCTGGTGTGCTCGACAGAGGCAACTTCCCTCTTGTTGCCAGAAGCAAAGTTGGGCTGAAGACTATCCGGGAACCCAGGGATAGGCGCATCGGGACCATCTCGAACAGGAGGGGGCTTGGGAGGGTCGCCATCAACCTCGGCAAACTTCTCAGGAGTCGTGTTGTTGCCTGGATAAGGTCTGTTATAGAAGTTTGCAGGTTCGTTCATGTCGATCCACAGAGCATCAATATCCGGACCATTGGTTCCGTCAAAGAACTCGGCAAACTGCTCAGTCCAGTACTTCTGAGAGTCAGGGTGGAACCAATCGGGGAAGTAACTCGGCCCAGCCCAGACAACACCCTTATAGTCAGAGCCGTTGGGCTCCTTGATAAAGGTATCGTACTCAAGACCTGCATCAAGTGCAGGGTTGGACTCCTTGTAGTAGACAGCAGGATCAACCATGACGATATAGTGCTGGTCTCTTGCGTGGATTGTGTCGACAAGATCCTTGTACAGATGAGCCGGGAATCTCTCTGGGTCAATGGTAAAGATGCGTCGACGGTCCATATAGTCGATATCAGTCCACATTGTTTCGAGGGGAATGTTTTGTGAAGAATAGTTGGCAACGACGGCAGCAACTTCGTAAACATCCCTGTAGCCGTATCGACATTGGTGGAATCCGAGTCCCCAGTACGGTGTCATGAGCGGGAGTTGAGTGATCTCTGCGTACTGCCTCGCTACTTCCTTTGGAGAAGGACCGGCAATGAAGTAAAAGTCGAGAACACCGCCGATGATGTTGTACTCAAGGAATTGCTTGCCGGCTTTCTTGTCGATAAAGATATCCATGCCGTTGGAGTTGAGCAAGAAGACGCCATGGGTGCCCTTGTCTCTGTGATCAAAGTAGATCGGGTGGGCACCGTAAAGGTTCTCGCCTTGGGGAACTCCATAGGAATCTCTGGTGTAGATGGTCCTGGTGTAGTTGGTTGTGTTCAGCATGAACGAATCGCTGTGCTCGCCCAAACCGTACAGATGGGGACTCGGGGGAAGATTCGTCTTGAGGTAGACATATTGGTTCTCAAAGACCAACTTGTTGCCGCTGGTGTCAAAAAGAACTTCACCAGTGTCGGACCGGGATACCGTGAACGAGAAAGGATCGGCCTTGAAGGCGAACTTGAGCTTGGAGTTCTTGGGAGAACACCACTGCCCATAACCAGGACGCGGGAACACGCTGTCTGGAACTTGGTACACGGTGTTGTTGGTGTCCAAGATCTTGACATGTAGACGCTCGCTGGTTTGGTACTCGACCTCAAGCTTCAGCTTGGGAAGGTCAGTCCCGAAGACGTTGCAAGCCGGTCCAGCGAGAGCAAGGTCGGCATAGAAGCCATCCTTTGTCTGCCAATGCTTGACAGCCTTGTATCCGGGACACTTGGAGAGGTCCTTTTCAAAAAGATCGTTGCCGGCCTTGTCGAGGTCTTCGACACCTGCCTTGCTCTGAGCAAAGCAGGCACCGGCAAAGGCCGTTGCTGAGACGAAAAGGTTCTTGAGATGCATCCTCAAGCTTTGCGAAGTGGTGAGGATGTGCTGACAATCAAGACAACCCCGAATAACCTCTTCAATCCTTATATAGTTCCCTGTCCGCCCATGTGAAGCCGAATTGTGGTATCATGGTCATTGACGACATCACGATATTAGACCCTCAAGTGCGGAGTCTCCGCCTTCGACCTACGGACGGTCTTACCCCGGACCGATAAGTAATGAGCTCACATGGATACTTTGCTCAAGGCCCACCCACAGAATCTTCTTTGACCAACGGTTTCGACGTGACACTGCTTCCACCGTTGAACAATCGTGAGCTTAGTGGCATTGTTCCCCCGCGATCGTCGGAAGGGACCAGCCACCCCCAGGAAATCTTATGACCGAGAAAAGACCCGAAGCCTGGGGTTTTGCTTGCGGAGCGAATTATTTACCCTCTAGCAATGGCTGTGTTTGTCCATGATCGTCGCCATGGCAGGGATATATGCGGGGTCTCCGCTTTGCTTGGCCGGACCGACGACTTTTGTGCAAAAATTGGCTTGTCACGATCCAAGCATTCATTGGTTTAACGGTGAATGGCTCCACGAGAGCTGGACAACCGAGCTGATGCACGAGAATGATTTCCTTGAAGAAACAGCAGCACAGCATGGACGAGGGCCACACGACCACGCCATGTTCTCGGCGATACAACCCTGACCCGCCGAACAACCTTGAGAACCCTTGCAAAATCATGGAAACTGCCGTAGGTCATGTTGATTCTGTCGAGGGGTTTTAATGCGCGCTGCCCGTTTGGTTTTTTAGTGAGCAGCTCCGCCGGACTTGTGACGTCGTGTTTTGATGAATCACCACTTTCCTCGCTTTTCGCTTCATGACCGCCAGGCCCATTGAGGAGAATCGTGTGTGCTAAGCCTAGTCTGAAGATAGTTAGTTTGTAAAAGCATGATCTTGGATGATTTGTGACAATGCCAGGCAGCCAGAGCTACCTCTGTCTTTCACATTTCTGCCAAGTCTATCCAAGCCTCTGAGTTGCCAACGGGGGTATTCATGCCTTCTAAATGATAAAACAATAGAGCAAAAATAGTCTCCATGCTGCCCGTAGTCCATTAGCTACTTTCTCTGAGTGACCAAAAGATTTCCCCGAAAAGCAAAAAGAACTGTCGGTGGAGAGGCTCGAACTCTCGACCTTTGGATGTCCCTGACCTTGGGCCAAGTCATGCTATGAGACCAACGCTCTAACCAACTGAGCCACACCGACTGAACCTGTTTGTTGAGCGACAGAGCAACTTGGTCGGACTCAAGTCGTCGTTCGGTATTCCGAAACCAGGGTGTTCTCTGTTCGAGGTCTTACTGTGATATCAACATGAGGAATATGACGGAAGGCGTGTGCAAGCAGGAGTAACTTCTCATTCTTCGACCAATCCTATCACTAAAGGCTACTTCTACTTCTAGGTAGCTCCTAGACACTGGCGAATCAGCCTGGTCAGAAATGCCCAACCCATCTTTAAACAAGATAGCATCTACCCTCTTTACCAAGCGATACTATAGAGTTAAACACACCGACACTTATATCTCGTAATCTTGATAGTCCTCCGAGTCCCTCGTCAGTTCGACATCAAAACCCTTGCACTTGATACTCGTCGCAGTCTTCCCGTCTTCTCCAAACTGAAACTCGAAATGATCCATCGAAAGGTCATTGTATATCAGCCGGTCCACCATACGCCAGGTGACGCACGAAGCATCCCGAATAGATGTGCTCCCATCAATCACCTTGGCTTCTTCGTCCGAGAAGGCGGGGAAGGTAGCTCTCCATGCTGACCGACGCTTGTTTTCAATGCCCGTCGGGAACATCCTGATGCTTGTCAAGTTTGACCCAGTGGTAGTGTTCATGGTTGCGGGATTGTACCGACCAAGGTTCGGCAACACCTCAAAGTCTCGCATAACCCAGTCGCTGAGTGTCAGACCTGGGCCATCATCCAAAGACAAAGTAAGTCGTGAACCACTCTCCTTGTCTGTATAAGTTCCCGAGAATCTCTTTTTGGCTTCATCTTTGGCTGCAATGTCCAAAGCAGGGATCAGCACCTCCATTGCCTGGAGACTTGCCAACGATGGCCAAAGGCCGATGACTTCAGGTCCAGCAGCGAGAACCGAAATGACAAAGCCCAAATCCGGCACAAGTGCCAACGCAGAATAATAGCTGGTAAGGGATCCGCCCTTGGTGTATAGATCAATGATCCGGCCGTCGCTGGTCAGGTTGTCGACGCGGTAGATCTCCCAAGGGGCGCCAACAGCACTGCTCCAGGCTGAGAGGAAAGAAGCCGGCTTGAGCCAGCGACGTGTTGAAGCCGGAGAAAGGGCCGAGTTTTTCAAGATAGCAGTCATGAAAGAAAGCAAATCTTTGGTGTTGGAGTTCATTCCACCGGCACTAGCACTGTGTTAACAGCCATAGCCATGATAGGCAAAGGACGACTTACGATGCAAAGATCCCCAAATCCATATCCCAATCAGTGCTTCCGGCGGGAATGAACAGTTGGTCAGACTTCTCGGGCACAGTCCCGACGCTTGTGTCCCGCAGCGCTAAAGGTTCCAGGACTAAATCGCGGAGAGATTCCTCGAAAGTCTTGTTGGAGGCCGCCTCGACGACAAGGCCAACGATGCTGGTGCCAGCGTTGGAATAAATAGGAACTTGACCTGGCGGGTACACAGGTGGGCGTCTATGCTGAAACGCCCCCAGTAGGTCTTTATTTGTTAGTCAAGTTTCGTGATAGGTACCGAGAGAGTGGTAGTCGTACCTTCGCGCGTACAAGGGCGAAGCCCTCCATTGCCTGAGCATGCCCGGGTCTTTGTCTCGGAAGAAGCCTTTGGAAGACCAAGAGCCTCCCAGTTGGCATCAAAGCTGGCAAGATCACTAGTCACTGGTTTCTGTCAGGCGATTCGAAGCGGCGATGACCATAAGGCAACTTACTATCTCCTCCAATACCTGAGAGGTGTGCTGCAACATCCCCCACAGTCGCGTTTTGCCACTCGATCCGATCAAGCTCATCTTCAGACTCAGGATCGCCAGCACGTCCTGAAAGCTCTGGAATCCACCGTCCAACGGGGTCGTCCATACTTAGCACTCCATCCTCAGCCAGTTCCAGCGCAGCCAGCACCGTAAACAGTTTTGAAACGCTTCCAAGGCGATACACGGTGCTGGCATCAACTTCTTTTGCACCACGCTTAGAAGCTGGACTGGAGGGAGTGTGGTGGAAGTCCAAGAGGGGCGTGTCCTCGTGAATAGACTGAATTCCGATGGAGACGGCAGAGTAGTTGAAACCTCCTGTTTGGGCTTCGAGAGACGTGATAATACCCTCAATGGCGGCTTTTACCGCAGGGTGTTGACTGGGCCGCTTTGGGGATGGTAAGACGGGGCCGAGAGGTGGGCATTGGCGAGCGTCTGCTGTTAGGCACAAGCCAGCCAAGACAGTGAGGAAAGTTGGAACAAAACGTGTTGAAAGCATAGCTCGCAGACTATCAAATGATGAAGTGTGGATGTTTCGATGGGTTCGACATATTTCTTGTGAAAGAAGGTCGCCTTTAAATATACTCGACCATCTCATTCTCCAAGGTTGCAGGGATTATTCAACTGCCCCTGAGAAGACCGAGATGGCCCACATCAGCTGTGGCTCCTTTCCAGGGATTGGACGATAAGCGAAGTATGGGGCATTTTTTGAAGGCAGGATCAGGTTAGCTTGCTGAGCCTAGACGTCTCAAATCACAACATCAACCATGTCCAAGCAACTCAAGACGTCATTTATTCGAACAATTGGACTGTTTCTAACCAGGTATACCAATTTGCCTGGTCCTGCCAAAACTCTGGATAAGGGCCTCTGTTCTCGTCATTCAGAATGCCGTCCAGGTTGAGACACTTGCACAATTGGACCTTTGCAAACTTGGCCTGAGTTCCTGGGCCAACGCCCATCCCGGTCCTATTATCCTGATGGCAAGCCACATATCCAACTATCCAACATAGATGGACCCTCTGGCTTTCAGGAATGCTGCTTGGTTGGTGGACGACACTTTGATGAGGCCCATTCATGCCTTGTAGGTCGTAAGGTATTGCCTCTTCGGCCTCTATGGCGACCTTGAGCACCGCGGCCTCGATTGCGCCACACCATGGACCTTCCCTTCCGCTTCTCTGAAGCAATTCTAGAGCTTTGCGGCGCCAGGAAGGATGCCTATACTTCAGGGCCGTCAAAAATAGTGGCTGGATGATGCCCATTTCTGGGGCGAAATGCGGGAGACCACCAGAATATCCTGGAGAATTCATGACCTCAGGTCGCAAATCAAAAAGTGCCTCCGCCAGCTTGATAATCTCCTTGAACTCCCGATCATAGCTGTCATAGCATGTTTCGTATGGTTGAATAACAGTGGCGCAATGTATCAACCCAGCGAGAGACTGAGCACGAAGGATGATCAGCTGTTCATTCTGTGGATCAGTGGCTAGACGCGAAGGATCGAGCTGGTCACACGACAGCCATTGTTGCAAGTTCCCGAGATGTCTTCCTTGCTCAATAAGTATGTGAGAGGGGATTAGTGACGAGTGCGTATACTTGTACTGCCGCGCTGCCGAGATAAAATGATAGCAAGCATGTAGTATTCTGCATAGTGCACGATCAGGGGCTATTATGGTCGAGTGTGGCATCGCCGGATACAATGACGGTAGGTCTGGGGAACGAGTGAGGACGTATGTTGCAGTATGAAGATCGAGCTTCTCAAATAGCGTCGATATTCCCTCGTCTTGGGAGACGGCTGCTGGGCTTCCATTCCCTTGGCCAACCATCAACGCAGCAGCCCCTCGGAGATGCAAGTAGGCTTTATCACTACGCTGTTGTAAAGCCTCGGTAAAAGCCATGAGGAGACAGGCAACAGTAGAGGGCAAAAACCCATATCGAAGGTTGGAAACTTCAACCTGTATCAGTCGCAAGGCTTGACAGTACAACTGAACAGATTCCAGCCCCAAGTTTGAGCGACTGGGTCTAAGTGTATGCTGCTCGTATGAGGCACCAAATGCAGCAGCGGCAGCTCGCACGAATGGAACCGAATGTATCAGCTGAGGTATGGTGCGACTCCATAATTCCGCTTCGAGCTCACTCTTGGCTCGACGGGGCCCTTGGCGAAATATGGTGCAGGCAAGGTGAGAGTATCGATTCCAAGGATGATTCGGATGATGCGTAAAGCGGTTCTCGGAGCGGATAACGGCTGATGAAGACGTGTCGATCCAGGGTCCAGGGGGTGCTCCACGCGGATATCCAAGGCAGGAGAGGTTATATGACAAGCAACGTAGACAGGATGGCTTTGATTCATCGCACTTAACACGCCGTTTCCTATGTCGAGCCTATTAGCCTGCTTTCAGTCGCAGCTGTGAATGATGTGCTTACTTGCAGGTGAAACAGCCAAATTTGGATTGCTTCACATTGATCCGAGTTCTCTTCCCTTTACTTGGGTTTACCTGAGATTGATTCATTGTGGTCTATGAGCGAATGCAAGTTGAACGAAGCCAAAGGGTGAAAGACCGAGGAGACAACACGAGAAACGCGTGCTCCTCCACGTTGTTATGGTGGACCTTGACATGCTTGGCGGGAAGCAAGAGACCGAGATAAAAATAAGCAGGGCCCACAATATGCTCAGCCCCGGTTAGCGTTGATTCAAAGGAAAGGGTAGGATTGGTTCGTGGGAGCGAGCGGTTTCAGGTCCGACGCGGGTTGAGAAAAAAGCAAACCAAAAGTTTAGGGTACCTAGGTAACTCATAACTGCGTGATAACAGGAATGATGAGATGTAACAGATAAAACAGATCCAAACTATGCCCTTTTCTTAGAATATCTTTATTATTCTATTTCCTGTTACTGTTAGGCATTAGTTCTATTCCCTGTCAAAGAAATGTGGGATATTGCTATAATTTTTTATCTCGCTTATTTATTTACTTATGTGAAGCACTGTTGTCAGAGCGTGTCAGGAACAGTTAATTGATGCTATCTTGGTACTTAATCAGACATTCGTTAAAATCGTGTGAAAAGATGATAATCTAGTGACTCCAATGATCTCCTTACTGTTCATTCCTCCCTCAATTAGCTCTCCTTGTCAGGGTAAGTCAATAGGGTGCCGTTTACTGGTGCAGTAATGGCGACGATAATGAGAAAGCAAGCTCAACCTTTAGCCCACGGAGATTTATCTTGCTCTTTCTGGTACTCCAGGAAGAAGGTCTCTCCTGCATCAACCATTGCCTTGATGAGATTGTTGTACGACACGTTCATGATTGGGTTGACCTTGGAGAGCCACGTCCACTTGTCCTGGAGCAATTCGAGCACGGTAAGAAAATAGGGCCAAATTTTCTAGACCAACATGTCAGTGATTGAAGCCTACACGGCTTAGCATGCCGGCGCAGCACTCACCTCTTTAAAATCACGAATCGTGGTCACCATGTTGGACGTGCCGTCTTCATTTTCGATTGGCAAGTCAGAAATGGAGACGGGCTCAATGAGGTTGCTCTCATTGTTGAACTGGCCCGTGGTAAGGAGCGAGGCGACACTAGAGTAAACGTCGTTGGAGAGATGGGTGATGCTCTTGTTGTATGCATTCAAAAAGGTCGACAAGGCCTTCCAGATAGTTTGGTTGGTCTTTCCACGAAATGATGCGTACACTTGTTGTAGTAATTTCGTGATGACCGTGAAGATTTGCGTCACCTTGGCGCCGGAGCGGTAGCAATCCCCAAGGTTGATGGTAGGATCATGGGCATACCCCTGGCTGTCTAGCCATTGGAGCTTGTCTTTGCTGGACCAGGAAACGTAATCTGTTGGCACGGGTTCAGAGGGATATGTTTTCTTTTTGGTTGCCATTGGAATCGATGGATGATCAGAAATATTGGCTGCTTGTGGTTCAAACACTTTAAGGCACCATTAGGTCGAGGGTTATCGGAGAAAGACTCATATTTATCTAGATCCTCTCAGGCGTGCATGTCGCATGGTTCAGTGATGTTCTGGATCCGCCATACCCTGGTCCCATGGCTCAACAATTGGCCAATCGGATCTCAGATGCACTGTTGATCCATTGTGCCTGGCCAGTAAAATTGAGCTTCTCGCCTCGCGACCCTCAGTCCAGACTAAGAATTAACATGCGTGGCAATCGATAATGCCAAATAGCTCCGCTTCTAGCCCATGGACAACTGACTTTTGGTCAGGGATTTCTATCTGGCCTCTGTGACTAGAAAAGTGAAAGAGAGAAGACAGTGATCACGAAATGGTTCCCTGCTCTGTACGGTTCTGGCTGATTGTAAAGATCCCCCCCCCCCCCGAGTCCAGCATCCAAGGTCAGAACTGACCGATTTGGCTAAGCAATATGGCCTAACTGAGGTGGAAACTCTTCCATAAGGCGATATATAAACGGGCAAGTGTTAGTAGATGGTTGTAGTCTAGTATTGGGGAAACTGACGGGGAGATGAGATTCAGTGCCAGAGCTCAGCTCATGGGCTCGCTACCACAACAAATCTTCCACATACGACCATACCCACCGGAGAACTCGGGATCCCGTCCGCTCTCCCATAGATAAGCCGGTGAGGGGCGGATTAGTAGTTGGGTCGGTGACGACCAGCGAATCCCCGCTGTTGTATGTTTTTTGGTCATCTAGCAAGCTTGCTGGCTCCATTTTTGCTTCCTTTGAAGTGGACCTCTTCTTTTTGGGGCAGCAGTATTCACGAGTCTTTGAAGGATCGATTATTGTGGCAGTAATAGCGAGAGTTACTTTGAAGAGAACCATCATCGTTATCACACAATCTGATAGACACTCCTACATGGAGACTCCGCTCAACGGACCTCCATACTCCCCCTGACTATTCTGTCCACTTAAAAACCTCTCAACCCCAGTGGACACTGGTTAAGCAATAGTTACGAACCATAATGAACATAGGGAACCCAATGAGCAGACGGCGCTCTAACCTTCGTGCTGGAACCTCCTGGCTTTTTAAACGTTGCCTTCCTCTTGTCCCGTAACTCCCCTTCCCTGCTATTCCCCCTTTCTTCATCTCCTGCCGGCTGCGTCTCTCCTGAGCCGTCGACGCCACGCTCATTCTCGAGTGCACTTGGACCTGGCCCCGGGTCGTTTGTATCGTCCTTTTTCCTTCCAACGGCGTCGTCCCGAAGCTCCCTCGTCGCGAAGTGAAGAGCACGACTAACGTTCTCGTCACTCATTCCATGTGTCTTGAGAAACTTGTAGGTCAACCCTGCCATGCGGACACAGAGCGCATCTTCAACTGCCCAGAGTGTCCCAATGACGTGGCGAAAGCCAGCCAGCCAAAACGCGCTGGTCAGATGAATGTTTTCATCAATGGACTTGTCGTGTTGATTCTGGGTCGTACCACAAGCGGAGAGGTATGCAAGGAAGAGCATCTTTTCGCTCAAATTCGTTTCAAAGATGGACTCCACGGTAAAGGGCTTCTCTCTCCAGTCTTCGAGGAGAATGATGCTGGCCATCGGGTTGTCCTTCATCGTTTGGGCATGTCCAGCGAAGTGGAATATCCCACATCCCGGCAACTCCGATAACACCTTATCTCGATGTGGTTGTGAAAGCTTCACACAATTGATGGGAATTGATTCGCACACAGATTGCACCTCCTTGATCTCTTTCTCCGCGTTGGCCAGCCTCTCATAACGTGGCGTGTCCTTCATGGAGACCAAGAGGGCGCTTCCTGACATCACTTGAGCTGCAGCATTCTTTTCTCGACTCTGACGGTTGCTTATGATCGACTTGACAGAAAGAGAGTACGATGAGATGGCCCTGTCAAGAACCGTTTTCGCACCAGAGTCCAGATGATATCCTGCAGCGTGGATGGGAAACCTGGCAAGCGGTCCAGTTGGAATCCACCAAATCCGCGGCCAGGTCTCGGTAGCTGATGTGAGAAGGCCCAGGTCCTCCAGGACTGGGCGGGTGATGACATCCCAAAGCCACTCAAGTGTTTCGAACGATTCCAGTTTCTTTTCTCGATTGGCAATGACCTCCTTGGAGAGTTCGGGTAGATTCACGTCTCTTATTCCGCGACCATCGATAATCAAGGCGTCACATTGGTATGAGCTGACATTCAGGATGACAATCGGGCCTTCCGCAGCTGCTTCCAACAACTCCTGTTCGGAGGGAGATGTCAGGAATCGCTCAAACCCGGGTTTCGTACGGATCTCGTCGAGTAGAGTCTCCATTTGTTCAACGGCTTCAAATCGTTCATCGGTGTTCTGGGACTGGTCCTTGCCAAGGGATGAACCGAGTTCGTTGTCTGGGGCCGGCTTGTCAAGAAGAGCACGAAGACGATGGTACGATTCTGCCAGCTCGGGATGTTGATGCTCAAGATCAACAAGGGACAGGTTCGACCGGAGATCTTGGAGAGAGCTGGCAAGGATACCACGCCCTGTCTCCAGAATTTTGATGGCACAGGCCGCTCCTTTACCTGCCATCAACGCAATGGCAGCCGCCTTGGAGGCCAGCCCAACAACTTGCTCAAGAACTTGCTGTTTGTCCGTGCTTGACAGTGAGTTCGGGGCTAGTCGGGGCATCAGGGCAACAGTGGCGTTGGCGATCTCATACGCCCTCTCCAAATCGTCGAGGAGATTCACGGCTGACAACCGTCGATCTGCAGCCATGAGACGAATCCTAACCGGCGCGTTTTCAAACTCCATCGCCGAAGCCCAGTAGCGAGAGGCCTCCTCGAAGTCCTTTGGGTCCTTGCGAAATGTATATCGCTTGTTGAGACGGTCGCCAAGGTGAATCATCATCATGGCTCGTTCGGGACTTTGGGCGTCCGTGGCGTCAACAGCCATGCGAGTCTCTTTGATGGCCTGTTCAAGACCTCGATCTATGATGAACTGAGTAGCTATTCTCTTCGGCCATGAGATGCTTTTACTTAAATATGCATCGTCCATAGACTGTTCGGTCAAGACAGATCGCTGAAATCCAAGATTGCTAAGCCACTGTGGCCGGTTGGGATGGTCATTAGGACAAGCGTCGACTGCCTTTTGAGCATACTTCACGGCGTCAACAATATCTTGGTCGTCCTGATCGTCCTTGTCTAGTGAATGTCTGGCAGAAAGCTGGGTACTGAGGTTGTGCCAGAGGGTAGGTAGGTCCGTATGCCCCTCTGGAGTGGCATCGATTGCTTGCTTGGTGACCGAAATAGCTTCGTTGAGATCCTCTAGAGAATGGGTGCGAGTAAATTTATCGCGGAGGCGATTGCCCAGGCTTGTGAGATACACCCGGTAGTCTCGATCACCCTTTTCTGTATTTTCGACGGCCTGGCGGGCAGCGTTCACGGCCTCCTCGGTGTCTGCCATTGACCCGAAGCGTAGAAATCTTCGGCCAAGCAAAATGCTAAGGAGATTCAGCCATTGGTTCACGGATGCGTGTTCTTCTGGTGTAGTCTTGACGGCTTCGCGAAGGCATGCGATGGCTTCATCCAAGTCTTTTGTTGCTCCAGTGATGCGGTACTTCTTGGACAGCTCCAGACCCAGATTGTGATAGCAGGCTCGTCGCCATGGATCCTTTTCTCCAGTACCCTCAACGGCTTGCCGGGTTAGGTCAATGGCTTGGTCTAAGTCTTCTCGCTTCCCGAGTCGAGAAAACCGCTCTGATAATTTGCCAGCCAGATTGGCGAGCCTCATGGATCGTTCTCCGTGGTCTTCAGGGGTCAGGTCAAGGCTTTTTCGCAGACACACAATGGCCTCTTCAAGGTCCTTGATCTCCCCGTACTGCCAGAACCGTTCATGGAGGCGGTTTCCGAGGTTGCTCAGCCATAGGCCTTTGTTTAGACTACCGTCTGATACAGCATCGACTGACTGGCGGCTGAAGCTGATGGCTTCCTCCAGAGCCGAGACGTCGCTGGTGTAGAGATATTTTCTCGATAGCTGTTTGCCTAGATTTCCTAGCCAGGAGTCTCGATCCGGATCATCCTCTGGAACAACTTTGAGAGTGCCGCGAGTGAGTTTGATAGCCTCCTCGATGTCTGATTGCTGTCTAGTGATGTCGAACCTGTCGACGAGGTGGAGCGCCAAGTTGCCTTGGGCTTCGGCGCGATAGATGTCGTCAAGCACAGCAGATTGAAGTGCATCTCGGGTTATGTCGATGGATTGGTCAATGTGTGCTACATCTCCGTCGAACTGGTATAGTTGTCCAGTCCAACTGGCGAGAGCAATCACTTGCTTGGGCCGAGTTGGGTCGTCTTCATGAAGGGAAGCAATAACCTTTTCCGTGTATTCGATCAGCTCGTCAAGGTCATTCTTCTTCCGGGTTTCCTGATATTTGTCGATAAGGTCTTGCAAGTGCGTGAGTTGAATTGAGGCCATAATGAGTCTTGATTTGCGATGATGCTCTTTAGAATGATAACTGTGCCAAATTTGATAACCGTGCTGGGAAGGGAAGCTGGCTCTAATAATGACGGCGCCTCCTGCACGCTACCTGGTCGGCTTGAGAGAGCCCCTCATTGTCTAGATGTCGGAGACATTCTATTATTAGTGGCCTATTGCTTTTTCCATAGCAGGTGCCTGTTCAGGTAACACAGGATGGGTCTGTGGCTGAAAATACAAAACCACAAAGGCTCAACCGAGGCGGACCATGCTGCCAGCGCCAAATGACACAGTGGCTTCTGCAAGATTAATTTTTCTTGCCCAATCGAAATTCGATAGCTATCATGTTTGTGATTTGAAAGATACAAATTGTGATTCTCTCTTGGCCCGGCTGGCGATACGCCAACCATCGCAAACTGAACCAAGGAGAATGCGAACCAGGAGGCCGAACAAGGCGGAGCGGACCATGTCACGCAGAAGCGAGCGCTCAGTGATTGAAAGATAAAAAGTAAACCCAGGCCTCCAAATGGTTCGCACATGGTTGCGTTTTTGGTCAAGCCCCTGAGCTCATCGCTGCCCGCGACCTCCTGTCAGCCATCCGGCCCAACTCCCAGAGCGCTTCATTTCTAATAATTTCCGTTAGCTTCCATGCACATTCACGCCCCTCAAGAGTGTGCTTAAAAGACAGCGACTTGCCCTCCTGTTGTTTGCCTCACACAGCAATCCATGCACCACCTTTCCAAGAGCCTTCGCCTCCACCTCGTCTGAGCTTAGACAAACAGGTAAGCCACCAATGTTCCCATTACACTCAAAGGTGATGACTGAGCATGCGCTCTTGAATAGAACCCATATAACTACTCAATTTTCTGCTCTGTTACCGCAACACAATGCCGATGGATCCACCTATATGGTTCAGGTTTACGGTGTTTTGCAGCATTGGTGTTTGATGGTGCCGTGTGTCTTTAAGTGTGTTTTTTGATTATGTGTCAGATACTTGTGTCATTGAAAATGCAGAATGGATCCACCTGTTGAGCGGGGTTGGGGAGAAACATGGGGCGGTGTTATATGTCAGGAATGCTACACAATCATTGGAAATCAATATCGTGCTTGGGCGCAGTGGGAACTGCATCCGGGCAACAGGAAATGGTTTTGCAATGATGACTGTATCCTGAAATACCTTTCTCATGATCACGCTGGTCACGCTACCCACCTACCTGGCGCGGATTTGATTCTCGTGGAGAGGAGGTGAAGGCAAGATACGGACGCCGATGAAGCTGAGAACTGTGATAGCTCCCAGGCTGCGATCCTGTCGATCATTCTCACTTGCACATTTGTTCTGGTAACTTTGGCTTCTATGTATTGAACTGAACTAGTGAGGTTGATCACGTTGTTGTTATTGCTGAATGTGGTGCCGTCTTCGAAAAGACTATTTGACAATGATAAAAAAGAAAACAATAACACAGTAACTGGCCACATTATGAATGGGTTGCCGCACAAAGCTCACGTCTAGGCTCTTCCAAGATCTTGATCCACACGTGAAACCTGGAGCGCACCCAGGATCTGAAGCCTCGTGAAGTTTCCGTGGGATATCTGTTCCCCCTTTTCTCACGCTTCGGTTGCGTCAGCACTATGAAATGCCTGATTGCGGCCCAGATGGTTTCAAAGAGCCTTGGCGCCTTTCGTTCTTGCAGATACGAGGACGCCACGTAACCACGTAATTTGTTTGTTCTTGTGACTGGGTCGCTGGGAAGGCCTCAGCCTGCTTCTCTTTGATGCAAGGCAATCACAAGGCAGCTGGACGCGACATGGCCTCAAACCACAAAATTGAGGCCTATTGGTTGATTTGAGGCCCGCCACACCCTTTAAAACTTGGCCCTGATGCATTACGATATATTTGTCATGTTGTCGCCTGGCATCGTGAGGGAGCTCTGAGACATTTCACCTCAGATGGTCGATACCAGCCGGCCCTGCCCAGACTTGACTTGCTGGTTGCTGGCTTTGCCAGTTTATTTTTCTGCGGCATTTCTTGCCATCCAATTTGGTCTTCTGGCCCTCCACATCTATTCCAAGCCTTGCACAATGCCACCAGCACAGCCGCAAACCGAGGCGACCCATTGGGCTGTGCTCATTGGCGTCAATTTCTACCCAAAGCCTCCGGCTTCGGCGAATGGGCAGGAAAATGCTAAGGACAACTCGCTCAGAGCAGCCGTCGCGGATGTTGAGGCTATGGAAGCCTTCTTTTCGGAATGGTCTTATGTCAAGGTCTCAAAGCTTACGGCTTCCAAGAGACTAGATGGAGAATGCCAAGACACCCCCTCTGAGGACGCCAAAGACCAAGCAACAATAGAGAATGTCTCTGTTCTCTTGGAAGATGTCATACGCACGGGTAGCCTCAAAAACATCAAACACGTCTACATCCACTTCTCCGGTCACGGAGGGAGGAACAGTGAGAGGGAATTACGACTTGGTCTTTATCGACCGAACCCCCGTCAGAGCCCTGCGTTCACGACTAGTATGCTCAGGGACTGCATTGATAAGATGATCAATCAGGAAATGAAAGTCACTGTGGTGCTGGATTGCTGCTTCTCTGCCGGGGTGAAGCGAACTGGCCACTCCGCTTTGGGACAAGTCCGCTTCCTTGAGGATGAACTGGGGATGGAGGAGGAAGAAGAGCTCGAGTCCAACAGTGTCTCTACCCAAGACAATTCGAATAAAATGCGAGGGGCAAGGTTTCAAGTCGATCGTCTGCTCGATGCTCAGGGATACACCATCATCACTGCTTGTGGCCAAGACGAGACAACAACAGAAATCGGGGGGGAACAGAAGCGAAAAGGCGCTCTCAGTCATTTTCTTCTCGATTCTTTGCAGCTCCTGAGAAGAGAGGGCTCTCAAGTAACCCTCACTACGTTGCATGAGAACCTCCAGAACAAGTTTCGATCTATTGGCCTTAATCATGTTCCTCGTCGTTATGGAAAGAGCAATATTTGCTTCTTTGAGAGTCTACTTTCTGGGCCCGAGGCCGCCTTTACTTCTGTCTCCTTTGATAAGGAAACAGAGGAGTACATTCTCAATGCTGGCCAGGCCCACGGGGTATGTGTTGGCGATAGGTATGAAGTGGCGGCATGGTGGGCATCGGAGAATGTCGAATCTCGATCGAAGGAGCAACTCGATGAGTTTGTAGTGGCGACAACGCGAAGTCTCGATTCAGTCATCAAACTCATTGGATCACGAAAAGAAGTTAACCCTGAGCTGCGTTCTTGGAAGGCCAAGGCTGTCAGCTTCTCCTCGCGTCAAAGGGTTACGGTGCACATCACGGATTCCTTACCCCAGGCGGACCGAGAGCAGCTACGACAAAGCCTGTCGGAGAATCCAGTCCTTCAGGTCTCTATTCCAGAGAAACTTTTGGACTTGCCAACTTTCAATGTCGAGCTAGACGCTGAAAATGCTTTCCGGGTACTGGATGGCGCGGCTGAGCCGATACCCAATGTGCCGCCAATCCAGAGGAGCGCAAAAGATTCCATAGAGTCTCTGACCCGAACATTGGAGCATCTGGCCAAGTACAAATTTCTCCAAGGACTGAAGAATCTATCTCCAGACGCCGAATTTGAGAAATTATTCTCCATGACTTGCGCCGATGAGTCCGGGGATGATGGCCGGTATCACATTGAAGACGGTCAGACTTGGAAGTTGGATTTCGAAAACCTGGGAACTGAGCCCCTCTTTGTGCACATTTTCAACATGTGTTCATCTTGGAGTGTCACAGACATCATCCGGGACGAAGGCGAGGACCCTGACGGGTTTGAAATCGCCCCAGGGTCCAAATTTCCCCTTTGTTTGGAAATGGAAATTCCGGAGCAGCATCTGCCTCGTACCGAAGACGTGTTGAAGTTCATTGTCACCAGCAAACCAACACGATTTCCCCTTCTGAGCCTCCCTGAAATTGGCGACAGTGGCACAACCCGTGGATCTGATGGATTCAACGAGTTTCACGATTTCATCTTCTCCGGTCTGGGGGCAATGAGGAACGATCGGGATGCGAAATGGTCAACAAAGACCTTCACCATCGTAATCAGCAGTCGAGAACCTTCAAGTGAGCCTCACGGGTGATTTTATTTGTGTTATTTCCTTTCAGTCAACATGAAAATCTCAAGTTCTCCAACGAGTCCAATCATCTCTCCGCGGTTAGCTGGCTTTCTTCGAATAGCCTCCCCCCCTTGACAGTGGTTCCCGAACGATCGCACAGGAGATATTTTCCATCTTGACACTTTTCAACCCAGAATGGGCCTTGAGAAGGCACCCCAGGTCCCTCTTGGAGCCTGACCTTGTCATCGGGGAGGAATTTGTAGCTTGAAGCGTCCGGGTCGACTGACGGTCTCGCGCCATCGTCGGGAATGAAGTCTTCTTCGAAATCGTCGACGCTGCGAGCAAGTAGTTAGTGATGAGTAGATTTAAATGGATATTGGCGAAGCGCGTACATGTCTGCTGGTGACATTCTGATAGGAGGTAAGAGGCAAGTAACTGGATGCTAATGGTGGGTGGGTGCGAAGGGAGTTTCAACGATTAAAGTACAAAAGAAATGGGGTGAAGAGAAAATAAAGAAAGAGCTGGGAAGATGGAAGGCAAGGATTAAGCTGAGAAAATGCAAGGCGACCCCGTTGTTGATTATTGGCTCGTTTGCAGAAGAGGCGGCCATTAGCCACATTAATAAACAACGCAACTTGGGCATTCCCATCCCACTGCATTGCAGCCTAATACACAGCCACTGTAACAATTTCACTGCAATTCTCCAGCTAAGATTGGTCTCGGTTCGATGCGGCTCACTTGCATAATACCTCTGGTCTCGGTATAACAATGACTTGGGCAGCCTGTTCCCAGGTGAGTTTTACATCAGTAGGCATACGCCACTCAGCAACTTAGGATGGCTAATCATGACGCCGAGCTTGGAATTGATACAGGATGCTCTTCTCAACTTCAGCCGAGTCGAAGATGGTCCTTTCCCATGTTGACCCGCACATTGACCAGGAGATTGACTTTCAGCTCCAACACAGCCGAGGTGTCAGAGAAATATCAAAGACCTCAAGGTACGAAGCCTGTCCTATATCCCTTGGTTGATTGATCACTTCTGGTTGACCTCATGTAGTCGAGGACTTTCCTCGGGGTTACCCTCAATTCACTGCTCTCATGGCGGCAGACGAGTCGTTTCAAGTCTTCCGGCGATTCTCAAATACGAGGACCCGACTTTTGCTTCTAAGTCAGAGTAGAGTGTCTCAACTCGAACTCGAATTGAGTAAGCTTGACAGAGATGAAACTTCACCCATCTTTCTGGCTTCAAGTCAGAGAGATAAGAACCCAGAGCGACAAAGGGTTTTGTCAGAATTGCGAGAGGCGCTTAAAGAATACGGTACGCTAGCAGGATAATGACTTGACCTGGAATACTGACTGATTCTTCCCTCGACAGATGAGTTAATCGTAAGAAACATGCAAGTCTCGGCTAATAGATCTGCGCACCCTCACGACGTACAGAGTCTGCTGAACTGGAACCTAGCAAATGGATGCATTTCTCGCGCGGACATGGACTTTCTGAGCCATCGTGATGATCTAATCTGTCTGTCGCCACCTAGAGATGGGCTCGTCTTATGGCTGGAACGACATGTCTCGGAGAAGCTTCTGCTCTGGACCAAGGTAAGCCACAACGAAACGAGATTTTAAGGTCGAATGAAGGCTGAACCCGGTGAAACAAAGTCGTGTCGCTCAGAAATATCACGAGACCAGCGCGTTCATATTTATGCTCGAGGCCGGGCTGATCTCCTAGCGCGGCTGGTGCTGGGACCATTGATGGTCACCTTGGTCTTGACACCGGTGGTTATATGCCACGTTGTGGACAGTTTAACGGCTAGATTGGCCATTGTGATCGTTTCGACATGCTTCTTTCTGACGGTCTTGTCCGTTTTAACGGGCGGCAAGGTGCTTGATCTGACAGTAGCTGGTGCAACGTATGAGTCTCATTCCATGGCATTGAACAGAGCGCTTACAGGCTGCTAGATATACAACAGTCCTTGTGGTGTTCATCACAGGACCTGATATAGTCGGAAGGTAATTATGAGTAACGGCTAGGCACATACACTAAGATTGAGATGATGAGTGCCCAGACCGAAGGGGTCAGCCAATGTTCATTCATCAAGTCACTCTTCGATATTTCAGTCGCCGCTTCTTCAACGCATTTTTTATTCAAGCCCAGGAACCAAGCCCTATAATAATGAGTGGCTACCACTGGAATAAATATGTGTGCTTGCACAAGAATAAGATGACACAAGGAAAGCTTTCTGTAGAGACCCTTCAACACTATCGTTCCAATCCGTTCCGTCCTTAGCACCATAACCACGAGCCCATCTAAGCAGTAGGCTGGAGGATGATCTGAGTGCGGCCGTTAATCTTGACCTCAGCCCAAGCCTTACCAGCCGAGTTGGCAGTGACAGATCCTCCAGTGCTGAGCGAGTACTGCTTGCCAGGGACCAGTCGCTCGAAACCAAGCTTGAAAGCACCAGGCTCCTTTCCGTTGTAGAGAACAAGGTCGAGCTTCTTGCCGTCCTCACTGTATGCCTTGGCGACAAGAACCTCAGGGAAGGGAGCATCCTCAAGAAGAGGACCGCTCAGAGCCTCGTCGGAGGGACCGTGAAGAGTAGCGTTGGCAAGATCACGCTGCTTGACGAGACGAGCCATGAGGGCGATGACCTGGCTAGTAGCGGAAAGACCCTTGTTTCGCAGAGATCCAGTCTTGGTGGCCTCGACGGGGAAGTAGACGTTGTCAAGTTGCTCAAGAGCCTCCTCGCGGACCTTCTCGTCACCAAACTCAGCAGCGGTAGCAGCGATGAAAGCACGGAGGGGACCCTCGCCAGCGCGGTAGTTGCCGGGATCCATCTTGTCAGCACCCTTGAGGTCACGGACAACAAGCTGGTTCTTCTCGTCATACTTGATGAACTCCTTGCGGATCATGGCCCAGTTGCGGTGAGCGAGGTGAGGGAGGTAGGCAGTCAGGAGCATGGCGTTGATGCAGTCGGTGAGAGTTCCGCAGAGACCAGGGAGCTTGAGATAAGTCAGCCTGGTAGTGAGCATAGGAGAAGGATTTTACTGACAGTAAGACCAGTGAACTCGCTGCGGATGGGAAGGATTCGGCCGTCGCACTCAGTAAACTCCTCCTCGAGAGATCGCTCAAATCGGTTCCTGAGTCTAGCACCGAGATCACGGCCAAGGATGCGGTCAGAGATGACAAGACCGGCCATGCCAGTGAGGCTTCACACATATTAGCCAATTCTCAAACACTTTGTGATAGCATACGGTCACTTACTTGCACAGAGAATAAGTCCAGTTAGGCTCACAGGGGTACAGGCAGTAAGGGTTGTTGTCCATATTCTCGTGAAGAGCGTCGGCCAGACCCTCGTAGTTAGTCTTGTAGTGCTTTCCATCATCGATAACAAACTCGAGGGCGTTCTTCTGGTGGTACTGGCGATCTCCGGAGGCTTGCTCGTACAGACCGATAGCAGAGCTGAGGTAGCCGGTAACCATCTAGATGTGGTTAGCATTGACTCGAGAATCAAGTGGGGTCTACTCACGATGTTGTCCTTCTTGATGGGGTCCCAGTCGCTGAGGGTGAACCGGCCAAAGATGGACTCCCACTTCCAGTAACTAAAATGGTGAGCAGTTGATCTCAGGTTGATGGTTCTTTGTACTCACGACATGATGCGCTTCTGCAAGCTCTTCTCAATACAGTTCTGCGAAGCCTTGGAGAGATAACCATGGAAACCGGGGGCGTAGTGGCACTGGTACAGGCTCAGAACATCAACGACACCGTACAGCTGATAGCGAACGGCACCAGTCTGGAACTGATCAATGACATCGTGGAAGCTGAAATCGTCACGGGGGCTAAGTCCACGCTCGAGCATGTGCTGGACGTGTCGAAGGGTCTCGAGGGACAGCTCTCGTGAGCCGGGGGCGGGAGCGGGGGTAGCATTCTCCATCTGTTCCTGGACGGCCTGGACAAGGTACTTGTTTCGCTCCTGAGCCTTGGAGTAGCCAGCAGCGTTAAGAGAGCGGGCGTTGCTCATGAGCCAGAAAATACCGGTGTAGCAGAGAGCGGCCCAGAGGAGAGCAGAAGGTTCGAAAAGAGTGTCGGTGGCCAGGTAACCGGCAGCGATGCTGGAGCCAACCCACAGGGCGATAGGGAAGAAGATACCGCCCATGGCGAACCAGATGAAGATGGTGACGGGAATCAGGGCCACAGTGAGCAAGAATGCAGCGGCCGAAGTGAAAGTGGCGACAGCAGTGAAACCGGCTCCAGGGAAGAGAAAGCCGAGAGCCGCAGCGCGATATGCGGTGTTGCTGAGGTTCTTGAAGGCCCAAAGTCCAGTGAGCGACAAAGCTCCATACTGGTACAGAGTTCGTCGCTGGTGGTACTTCTTGACCAATCCTCGGCCAGCATTGGCAGGGATCAGGACATCTATCTCATCATTAGAAAATGATTCTGCATATTGCTCTGTGAGGTCTTACCTTGGATGGTCCAAGGTCCCCAGCCAAAGTCGCCAACAGGCTCGTCCTGACGATAGGCCTTTTCAGGCTGGCTCTCACTCTGCAAAGTGATATGCCCATTCCCATTCATCTTGTGATCCTTGGTCTTCAAGGGATGAGAGGGAAGCTCTGACGCATCATCATCATGGACGCCATTGGTGGCGGGGATGATCTTGGAGAGCTGCAACCACAAAGTTAGCAAATGCTGTCGGATTGAAGTGACAAGTCAATTACCGTGATTGTTGACATTGTGCTTTTCCTTGTCGCTTTTCTTAGAAAGTGTTGAATGAAAAGACAAGCTTGTTGAGTTTCGAATCATCATCTTTGGCCACGAGTCGCGTCTTTTATCAATCGCTTCCTCCATCATCATCTGAGGGGCGGTCCGGTCTCCGAAACTGAACCGCCCCAGACTGTAAATGCTGGATCCTGGGAGATCAGCACATCAACTGAATCGCGGGGCAACATGCGTGCGGGGAAACCGGAGAAGCGGAGAGAAGCATCTCCCCATGGGGATAGTGATACAGTAGCTTAGCATCTGGGGAAGATGGTGCGAACCCTGGAAACCGGCTCCAAGGGCCAAGGACGGGGAGGTCGGAAAGCTAGAATGGGCGGGGGATACGGAGACGCCCGACTTGACGGCAGGCGGACCGTTACTAGCCCTTCTCGCAATTGACTTATCATGCACTTTAGTCCTTATCTCTGGCATGCAGCGCACCTTTCTGAATCTACTCTACATCCTTTCACGTCATAGCTTTCCTCCACATTTGTTGCGTCAAGATCCAACCTCGTTTCATCATGAAGGCCAATGTCCAGACCACCCAGGCCATCGTCTCCCACGCCCCCGAGGATGGAAAGAGACGATGGATCCTCGAGGATGTTCAAGTGAGCGAGCCTGGAGAGTATGAGGCCATTGTAGAAATGGTTGCTTCTGGAGTCTGTCATACAGATCTTGGATGCGGAACAGCTCCAGATGGAACTCCTGGCTTCCCTGTCCCGCCATACCCCCGCGTTCTTGGGCATGAAGGTACGCGACACAAAACCATAAACACGTCATCTACTTACAAAACCAGGAGCTGGCTTCGTTCGAGCTGTCGGTTCCAAAATCACAAAAGTCAAGCCAGGCGATGCTGTCCTCCTCTCCTTCGCCTTCTGCACCAAGTGCCACAACTGCAAGTTTGGAGCTCCCGGCTACTGCCACGAATTTTCAGCTCTGAACTTTGCCGGCACCAAGAAGGCATTCCAGTTTCCAACTGGTACGGGGCCAGACGTTGGAGGATCCTTCTTTGGCCAGTCGAGCTTTTCCAAACTCAGTCGGGTTCAGGAGACGTCGCTCGTCAATGTCAGTCAGTTGGTTCGCAACAAGAATGACTTGAAACTTCTGGCGCCTCTTGGCTGTGGCATTCAGGTAAGAAATAATACTTTCCGTTCTTGAATATGAGATCACCCATTAACATCGCGTTCAGACTGGTGCGGGTACAGTTACTGAACTGGCTGCTGCGAAGCCAAGCGACAAGGTCGCCATCATTGGTCTAGGAGGTGTAGGACTTGCAGCCATCATGGTAAGTGATCTCGGTTGCGGGGCCTGGATAACTCAACTAACCTATTGGTATAGGCTGCAAAGCTCAAAGGCTGCCGAACCATCATTGGAATCGACCGAGTCCCCGCGAGAATAGGAATGGCCAAGAAACTCGGCGCAACACACGGGATCGACACATCGACCATTTCCAACCTAGTAGACGAAGTCCGCAAGGTCACGGAAGGCTCGGGAAGCACCATTACAGTCGATGCTACTGGTGTGCTTCCGTTGATTCAGCAGGGCTTGGAGTTCACTGCAAACCAGGGCAAGATGATTCTTCTTGGTGTTGCCCCGATGGATGCTGGGCTGGAAATTGCGGTTGTTCCTTACATGGTGGTGAGTACCAAGACATTCTTGGGAGATGACAACGACTGACAACCTGGCAGACGGGCAAGCAAATCATGGGCAGTATGGAGGGTGGTGTGTACCCGGAAGATGTGAGTATTCATTCTAACCTATCTGGTTAAATAGACACTTGCTAACTTTTGACAGTACATCCCAAAAATGATCCGATGGTACCAAAACGGAGAGTTCCCCGTCGACGAACTGATCAAGTTCTACCCCGTAAGGTTGTCCCCGTCTAGTTGCAACGCCACTCTAACCAGCATCCCTGCAGGTACAAGATTATCAAAAGGCAATTAGAAATATGGAGGATGGATCCACAATCAAGCCCGTGTTGATCTGGTAGTACCTTTGGGTTAGCGTGGTTGGTCTGACTCTGGGCTGTAGGCGTTATTAGGTGTGAGGTTGAAGGCGAGGTGAGGAGCGAGAATTTGGGCCTGTCGCCCTCAATCAGATAGTCGATAGAAAAGAACGTTGATACTAGGCTAAGAACGTGCTTTGTAAACGCGATGTGTTGCCTTAGATAGTGCTTTCAGCTCTCCTGTGATCATATTTGTGATCT